TCCCCTTAACCCGCACCACATGGGCTGCGCGGTGCCCCCGGCCCGCAGCCGCCCGCAGCCCGGCATGGAGCCTCTGAGCGGAGCGCTGAAGAAGAGAGCGACGGAGCAGCACTACCGAGCGGAGGTGATGATCGCCGGAGAGCAGCTGAGGTAGGGCTGAGCCTGGGCTCTGCGCTAACACGGCTTCAAAGCTTGGTCCTTGAGCAAGAACTTCCCCAAGGTGCCCCGAACCCAGAGCCTGAAGCAGGGATGGGGACCGCCCTGCAGAGTTGTCCCTTGGACGCCACATGCCTGAAGCAGGGCAACACAAAGGGTTTTTGTTTTGAAAGCTACCTTTGGGCACTTCTGCTGTTTTATGGCCCTGGTTCTCAAACTACTTCTAAGCTTTCTTCTTAGGAAGGCAGAAACGCACCCTGCTGTGCAACAAAACCGGTGTGGCTGAGAATGTGTTCCTTGTGTGGATGGGGTCACAATACCAGAACTGCTCTCAAGTGTGTGCCTGAAGGCTTTTCCAGCTCTCGAGCAGTTTGCTTGTTTGTGTCTCGAGCCATTCTGTTCTGTTATGAAACACATAACTAGAAAATACATCCTTGAGTAACATAAAGAGCCCATGTTTGCTAGCACCAGATTCCCAAAGTTAGCTCTGTGTCATTATGTTGTCCAGCCTCAGTGAGTCACATCAACCTCAGCTTTATTTATCTGCACCATAAAGGACTGATAATTTCCAGCTAAATACTAGAACTGCATATTGAATACACAGCCCATGGCCAAGGTGGTTGGAATTTAATAGCGCCATCAAGGTCAGCTCCATCTCCGCTGTCTTTCTAAATTGTTGCTTTCCTGGCTCCAGAAATTAAATCTGGCTTGTTTGTTTGTTTGTTTGATAGTAAACAAGAAAGAGCTGGTGCTAGGGATGGGCTGCATCAAACCTTCACACCATTCACAATTCACATTGCAAATGAGGCTTAAACATTGAGCTTAACTTTCTTACAGGGAAGAGCAGCATCAGATCTAAGGCTGGGTTGCTTTGTTTCAATAACTCAGTGCAAGAGACACAAAGTTGTGGCTTTTTCCGTGTTGTGAGCAGGGCAGGTGCATTCGCATTTGTATTTTCAATGCTGTACTCATCCAGGGTGACTGAGATTTAAAATGGGTTCTATAGCCAAAAAAAGGGGGGTAGGTATGCAGAGAGAAAGTAAAATAACTGAGCTGTCTGTTAAAATTGCAAAGAGTGAGCAAGCAAGGGCAACGTTGTGGCCTTCAGTGAAGAGCTGGGGCCGTTGCACCCAGGAGCACAGTGCTGGCAAACACTGTTTTGCAAACACAGTGCTGTGAGGAGCAGAGCTGGGCGGCCTCAGCTGTTTCATGCCCCTCTCCAAGCACTCCTACTCCATGTTAGAGAGAAGCAGGTGGCCTTTATCCAGCACAGCTGCATTGCTCTTCACTTGTGCTTTGCAGGTGATAGGTAAAATGTCAGTAAAAAGTCCTGGAGTGCTCAGGGATGGAAGCATGCAATTGTTTGCTCATGGTATGGCGTGAAACAACTGCATCCTTCTGCTTGGGGTTGGGGTGGGAGCTTATTCCCTGCACAGAAAGGCTGCAAATTGCTGCTGGGGAGGAAGGTGGAGAGCTGGGTTCTGCCAAGCTTGGCAAACTGAAAGGGGAATGAGGGATGGGTAAGTACTACACTGAGTGCTTGAGTCCTTTGCCTGTCCTTGGGGGACTCTTCAGCCTGGCAGTTAGAGTGGAAGCAGTGATGTGAATCTTCCTAAGGTCAGTTGGGTCAGTAGTGATGGGGAAACTGAGGCAGGGACCTGGATGACATTGTCTGAGGGAAGGACTGAGCAGAACTAAATGCATTGTGCTTCTTTTCTTGCCCAAGGAGAAGGAATCAAGGTGCTGTGTAAGACAGCCTTGTAGCCTTCTCCCACTCACACTCAATATGCCTTGATCAGCTCTTGCATCTACAGAAAATCCCAACCATTTGTTTTCCCTGTTCTCTGCTTCCTGCCCTGCCTCCTCGCTATTGTATCCAGCCAAACAAACCTTTGCTCTGTCTTTATGGTTCTTTGGCTTGCTAGCGAGTTTGCAAATCCCTCTCAGTTTGTTTTGGCTGCAGCATGAAGTCTGTTCAGTGTCAGGACTCATTTCCCAGCCAGAAATAGCTGCGCAAGTGAGGGGTGAGGAAATGCTTCTTGGGGGTGGCAGGGAACAAACAGATCCCAAAGAAATCAGGGGGAGAGGAGTTTGGGTCTCGAGCCTCTCCCCAGAAAGATGGAAGTATTAATTTCCATTTCAGTCACTGCTGTGTTTGCAGGGCTGCTGTGTCAGGCATTCCTTGCACATTCTGCTGTCAGTCTTTGTGTTTCAGTTGTAAAATCTGGCGTGAAAGTCACCTCAGTTTTACTGAGTGGTGAATGTTCCTGGGTGGCATTCTGTAAGAGAAGCCCCAGTAATTGCAACAAATGGCTGATCTGCACAGAAGTGCTCTGGAGCAGCCGCTGCTCTTTGAATTCACCCTCCTCTGTAACCTGGGTTTCTCAAGTACAGGCAGGTCCTTGGGTGCAGTTTGGGGATTCATTACTGTCAGGTGAACCAGATGTTCGCCACTAACTCTGCTAAGCTGCATTAATCACTCTGAGAAAGGAAATCTTCTCCGTAAGTTCATGTCCTGGGCAAAAGGAAGGGAGAGAAGGAAAGTTTTTTCCTACAAAGAACAGAACAGTGCTTTCAGGTGCCGTCCAGGTGAGTGCTTTTATTTGGATGCTCAGATTGTAAGGCTGTTCAGCAGAGTGTGAAGATTTTGATGCATTGGGCTCGCTTTGAGGTGCAGGGCTGAATGGGTCCTGGTTTGTACCTCTGTTTGGAACTGTGGGTACCTGATGTGGTGGTCCCTGGGGAACTCCTCTGGGCTGATGTTCAGATCACACTACATGATCAGAACGATCTTAGGAATCCTACTGCTCCACTGTTCAGCACCGGTGAAAGAGAAGGCTGGAATGTACAGCTGTTCTTGCTGGAACTGCTTTCTGAGATTTAAGTCCTGTTTTCCTGTTTGTGCTTTTAAATAGAAAAGGGAAAATAAGACTGCACTTTGTATTGCTTTGGGTGGGCTGCCTTGTGCATCCAGGGCTCTCCCATTCCTAAAGCCTTTGTGCTCTTGTAGACATGGGAGAGCAGCGAGCTGAGTTTTGCAGCAGTTGTTTTGCATCAGTGTTCATCTCCAGCAGCTATTTAGCAGGGGTGCTTTTGTGACTGTTTCTTCCATTTACTGAGCACTCAGCTTTATGATTTTTCATCTTCCTCTAAAGATAGGAAAACATCATTTGGATGATGTGCCTTCAGGGTCATTCATTTGTATTTAATCGCTGTGGGAATGCAGCCTTGTGTTCACATCCTTGAGAGCTCTATCATTATGCGAGGCTCCAAGGTTCAGCTGTCCAGCTGCCATGCAGGAAACCCAGCTCCTGAAGCTGTTGGCTTTCAGCAAGGTTAAGCAGGATGAATGAGATGAATAAAGATGTCTTCTTAGTGACCTTGACAAAGGAACAAGTTGGTTCCCCAGTGCTGCCCATCCAAAGCAAGAGCATGTGCTAGCAGAGAGCGGGTGTGCCAGACTAGGAGTGTTTCACAACAGCTGATTGTCATGTTCCAGCAAGCATTTTATTTCATTTTTTTGTCCTTTTGAATTAGCAATAGGTACATGGGAAAGGTTTTGGCATGTAGAAGAGTCGTAATATTGCATTACACGCTCTTCCTTAACATTTTTTTATTTTGAAGCATGGTTATGAAACAATTATCATTTCACTGGCTTCGCTGTCCCAGCATGGTGATAGATTGCGTTAGACTGCCTCGTGTGATTATGGTCTGTGTCATTAAGTGTCAAGATGTGTGCGTGTGTATAAATATATACACATGTGGTCCTTGTAGACTTCTACAAACTCTTAACAGTAATGGATGGCTCTTGCTTAAACAGTTCCTATCTTCAACAAACATTCCTCTAGAGTGGCATCCCACTTGTTGGTTTCTAGGGAAATAAAATACATCAGAAAGGCCTGCTCATCACTTCTGGCACTGGGGGATGCTGTCTGGGTGGGGAGAAGGAGCCTCTCTGCTTGCAGTGGCAGCTGTCCAGGTGTGATTGCATTGGAGGGTGCACAGTAAAATAATGGAAGGAAAAAGAGCTCAAAACTGTAAAAATAGCAGGCAACTGTCTGCAGTAGGGTAAGCTGTTCTTCTTCAGGTAAAATCAATATGCAGAATATGTGTTGGTTACTTGTGGGAATGAATCTTCCTGGTAAGGAGAGTAAGATGCTGACGCAGAGCTCAGTGTTTGAAGGAGGCCAGTCAAGGCAGAACCAGGAGCTGGCTCTGCGTGGCACGCTGGGTTTCACCATTTGCATTGCTTTCTTTGTGTCTCTGCTTTGTCACATCCTGCTGTGTTTCTCTGGGGGTTACCAGAAAGGTCTGGACCTATACTGCTAAGAACTTGGCCTGAAGTAGCTCAAGCACTACTTGCAGCCATCACTTAGCTTAGCCATCACTGTTTTCATTCAACAGAGGTTTTATCTTAACACTTTTGAGACCCTAATTAATCCTTATATTGGAGGATAATCCATTATTATCCAATAGGTGTCAGTGAGTTTATTGCTTCTTGTACGGTACCTAAAGCTATTGTCCAACAGGCTGCACCACGTATGCTGTGCTGTACACAGAACTTCTTCAAAAAGAACAAAAGGAGTTGAGGAATTAAAGAAATGCTGCTGTGATTAATGCCTTTGTAAAATAAACCAGTCAGAGGCAAAACTGTGAGCTGAAATGAATAACTGGAAAGCAGAAATGTCCTGGAGTTACAGAGAAGATATTAATTAAACATCTCTCTGAGTCTGCTGTATGCTCTGGGCACTTTCCAGGGTTGGTGTTCTGGGAACAGCAAAGACAACAGGGCAGGAGTTTGTAGGCTGCGTTGGCTTTGGCCAGGACACAAAAGTTCTCTGTGCTCTGTGGCTTCATTGGCTGTAAAAGTCCTTTGAAAAGCCAAAGCCGTGCCCACCTGAGCAGCCTTCCTTCTTATGTATCTTTCCATCAGAGCTACAGACGAGCCATAACATCAGGGTGCTCAGGACAGGACACTTGTAGTTCTGCCCAACTCTGCCCCAGTCTGTCCCAGTTTGAACCAGAAAATGCCAGGACTGCTGATGGACTGAAGGCAGTGCTGTGTCTGGGTGAGCTAGAACTAATGTGTGTGTGATTTGGATCAGTGTGCTCACGTGTGCTGTGGGTGAGTGTGTACAGGAACACAAGAGAGCACAGATCTGCCTGGCATTTGTCCTTGTTGGAAGGACAAGTGCTCTCATCCAGCCCTTGTCCTGAAGGCAGTGATGTTCCTGCTTCCATAGACATGGGGAGGAAAATTAGGCACAGAGCCATGCAAGATGACAGAAACGTGTACAGTTATTATTTCCTGTACTTTGGCCCTTTGGTTAGCTGATTTTAGAGGCTTATTTCGAGCACAAAGTCCTGCATGGCTCAAAGTGAGTCCGGTTCAGACAATTACAAAGTGCACAAAATGGCAGTGGGAGAACAGGAGATGCTGAAAAGAGGATCCTGGGGATGGATTGATGCAGTTTGTAGAAGTGAAGAGGTTACACATAATTTTTAAATCATGGATGCTTTAAATGGGTGCTTTCCAGGAGTCCCAACCCATCGGTAGATTCTCCAGGCTGGGCTGGGCTATTGAATTGAGATGTCCATGCCAAGCCAGCTGTGCTCTGTGCCCATTTCTCTCTCCAGGCTTCGCCTGCATGATGGAAAGCTCATTAAGGACAGGCGTTACCACCTCCGAACTTACCCCAACTGCTTCGTGGCGAAGGAGCTCACGGACTGGTTGATTGACCACAAGGAAGCCCCAGATCGAGAGACGGGCATCCGCCTGATGCAGAAGCTGATGGACCATTACATCATCCACCATGGTGTGTGGCATTCTCAGTGCATCCTCAGGAGATGACTGCTGGTCTAGTCTCTGCTTGTGCCTAGCAGAGGCACAGCCTTGCAGCTGGGCTCTATGTTCAGCCTTCAGCCAAGCACTCGGGAAGATGCACAGATGTTCAGCCACAGCTGGGGCTGCTTCCCTCTGCCCTGCCCCTGCCTTTGGCAGTGCATCTTCTGCTTGGACAAGCAAGGGCAGAGGTGCTTTAATGAAAATGCTTTCACTTGCAGTGAAGGTTTCTTCAGGTATATCTTAAATAAGGTTTTCCAAAGAGATCTTAGGGCTTTAGGCCAAAATGGTTTTGGTTTTGATTTTTAGGTTTTTCTTTTGCTACCAAAAGAATAAAACAGGGTTTTTACATTGCCCTTGGTGGGCAGTTTTGGGGGCTGAGCTGCCACCCTTGGCTGCTATCTCTTGCAAACCTGAACCCAGGTCTTTGGGACATGGTGGCCATCTGGTTGGAGCCAAGGAGACAGAAGCAGGTGACAGTCACAGAATTCTGCCCTCTCTTCTGCAGCGATCAGCATAAGCCTCCTCCAATCATTGCAGTGCACTCTGTTGCCATCTGCTCCTTGCTGGGTTTCATGCCCTTTGCATTAAGCTGCTCTGACTCAAAATCAGCTCTGCTGCTGTGATTTACCACAAAAGCATAGCAGTGACTTCTCTGTTAACCATTAACACTTCAGACTGATTATTTTTCCATCTCTCCAGCCAACAATTTCCAATAAGCCCATTAGTTGGCTAAACCTGTGCGGACGTGGCTGCCAGAGCTGGTTTGATTGCTTATCATGGGCACGTCCCTCCTGCTCCTGCAGAACACACAAGCAGGTTTTCCAGCTTGCTGTGGGACCATAAGTTGTTGTTGGGCCTATGGAAACGGGACTGTCTGCTGAATGCCTTGCAGTTGGCTGCCTATGCTGTTTGCCCTCCTCTCCACTGGTATTGAGAAAGACCATAATTATTCCATGCAGATGCTCTGTGCTGCCTTTAAAGGGCTGATATGCTTCGAGCTGCTGCTCAACTACATGCTGGAAATGCATTGAAACTGGTCTCCATGTAGCAAAATGTTTTCACTCAGAGGGTGGTGACGCACTGGAACAGGTTGCTGAAGGAGGTTGTGGCTGCTCCATCCCTGCAGGCATTCAAGGCCAGGCTGGATGTGGCTCTGGGCAGCCTGGTCTGGTGGTTGGTGACCCTGCACATAGCAGGGGGTTGAAATGAGATGAGCATTGTGGTCTTTTTTAACCCAGGCTTTTTTAACTATGATTCTGTATGATTCTTATGGGTGCTGTCTGTCAAGGCCGTGTGCTTATTTCCCAACTATCACCCCATGCTATCTGAATCACTGCTCCTTTCAGTTAAGGGGATCCAAACTTTCTCTTCTAAAACAACCACCTCACCCTGCCTTCTGCCTAGTGAGTCTCAGGCTTTGGTGCCCTGGTTTCCCACCAGCACAACTGCTCAGGAGAAGTTCTGAACTGAAGATGTTCTGATGGGTTTTAGCCTTGAGTTTGTCACCAAAAGGAGAATGAAACATTACTCAGAAGAACAAATGGTAAAGTTTTAAAACAGAAATATATCTTTTGAACTTTATTCAAATCATATTTGCAAGGCTGACTTTTTTCAAAACTGGACCATAATGTTTCATTTTATTTTCATTTCATTTCAGTCAAGTTGTTGTACAGTCGTCTCTTCCAGCCAAGTTTATCTCAAAACAGCATCCCCAGTATTTTCCTGCTGAATGTTGCAGGCATTTAATAACCATGCTTTTATAGACCACTCTCATCTCCAAGGTAAAGATCAAGCTGGGGTTTTATCCCAGTTGTATGCACCTAGCTGCAGGAAAAACTCTTGAGGTTTGCTTGCCATACAAGTGAATTGGAACAAAATGGTAGGGAAAAGTTTCTCATTATGTCATTACACACTGTAATTCACAAGTATTTTTGGCAGGGATGGAGATGATTTGGTGGAGTTTTGGAGGCAGTGATGCTGGGTTGTTTTCCCTCCCCTCCAAGTCTGCTTACACATGGCAAAATTCCCATTCTAATGAAGCAATTTAGCGACCGGGTCAGAGTGTAAACTTGAAGTCAATCTGTCCCAAGGGCTTTCCCATAGGGCTGACCTCTCCCAGAAGCTGTGCAGGTCTGATTTGGGGATGGAAGGCTCAGATGCTGGCTCAGCAGCACGGTCCAAGAGGAATAGAGAGGGACGCAGCACGTTTCCCATAGCAGAACGTAAGGACAACGCACTGCTGAGCCTGTGTGCAGTGCTTCTGTCTGTCCCACATACACTGACCTCCTTCTCTCCTCCTTCCAGTTTGTGATGAGCACTCGGACTACAAGGATGCCAAGCTGCTGTACCGCTTCCGCAAGGACGATGGGACCTTCCCCCTCAGCAAGGATGTGAAGGTGTTCATGCGAGGACAGAGCCTTTACGAGAAGTGCGTGAGTCCCTTCCCACGGCCTCGGGTCTGCCAGCTGTGCTTGCTGTGCTGCTTCATGGCTGGAACCACAGCAAACTCGTCTCTTTCTGTTCTGTATGCTGCAACCCTGGGAAATACTCTTTCTTGGAGAGGAGCTGAGCTATGAACTAATGCGTGCTTTGATGCACCTTCTCCATACCTGCTCCCCTTCCAAGCCCATCAGTGGAGCACTCCCACAGACACCCAGCAAGCTTCCTAACTCAAAGTTACCCCACAAGCACAGTGTCACCTAACAAGTGCTGATGGATGTGGTGTCCTGTCTCTCCACTCTACAACAGTGAGAAGTTGATTGGCCCAAAAACTTTGGGAACCAATTTAACATCCTCAGAGGTTTTTCTTCCCTGATAGAGCAGCAGTGTGATTGGGGTCATCAATCACACACATCAGCCCTGTTAGGACTTGTGTCCCAGCACAACCAGCAGGTACAGGGCCAGCAGGGCCTTTCTGCTCTGTGATCCTGAGCCATAGAATGGCTGGGCTGAAAGGGACCCCAAAGATCATCCAGTTCCAACCCTATGCCGTGGGCCAGCCACCAAATCAGGCACCAGATCAAGCTGCCCAGGGCCCCTTCCATCGTGGCCTTGAACACCTCTGGGGATGCTCAGGGATGTCCTTTGGACAGCTGTGATTTCTGTCCTTCATACAGGCATGATTTCTACTTCCCCGTGCCCTCTGCATTGCTTTCACTTCGCTTTTGCTCAGCAGTGGATGGGAGAGCATCGAGATTCTTACAGCTGAGGCTGCTGCACCCTCTCGTGGAGGCACTGCGTTCAGCTCCGCCACGCCACAGAATGAACATGGGCTTACCACAACGCACCTTCCCCATGCATCTGGACCAGCTGTTATTTGGGCACGCATTCGGTTGCTTGCTTAGCTTTCCACTGTAGCCTTTAGCTGAGGTTGCAGCCGATCTTGATTCCTCTGCCTCTCTGCTCCCGCTGCTGGGATGAAGATTTACAAACCTGTAAATGCAGCTGTGCCTTTCGCCCTCCCTTCCCACCGCTCGCAGGCAGCGATGATTTGGCTTTGCCCACTCTTCTCATCCTTGCTTCGGGCTGCGTGGCATCACGGGCGCTTGTCCCACCTCTGCCAGGCTGGTGAGCGTGGAGGGCTCGATCCTGAAGGTGAGGGAGGAGAACTCGGTGAAGTACCAGCGGGCGTTCCTGGGCTGCGAGATGGTGGAGTGGCTGGTGCAGGAGGGAGAAGCAGAGAGCCGGAGGGAAGCGGTGGAGCTGGGCCAGGCACTGCTGGAGCACGGGATCATTCAGCACGGTGAGAGGAAGGGAAGCGAGCGATGAGCATAGCTGTCATGCCAAGAACAAATCCCCATTCATGGCATGCAACAAGTGCTGGTCAAGTGCCCACTTAGAGATAGCAGCGGGGCCTTTTAGTGCTATGTTTGGAGCCGGTGACCTTTGAAGCCAGAGCAATCCACTGCCCACAGAGGCTTTGAGCTGCAATTTGAGCTGTCGCTCTGCGGTCCTTCAAAGACCTGGGCTGCAGGGCTGAGCCTCACCCTGAGTTTCCAGGGCTGGTTGTGAGGTTGCAGAGCTCAGCTGGGCTGCAGGTCACACCCACCTACAGGGCTTCAGCTTTCCATCTGTGAGGCAGGGAGCCCTTTGAGCTCCTGGAGCTTGGTGATGTACAGATGGGATGGCATGTCCTGGAGAGGTGGCCCTGCTGCTCTTCCTTCTTTGCACAAACAGTGTTTTTTCTTTCCAACAGTCAGAAAAAAAACCCTAAAAATATAATACAGAAGCATTAAAAGCAATTCATCCAGATAGCTTGGTATGTTTGCTACGCATCTTTCACACTCCCTCAGCCTCTCCTTCCTCTCTTGTCCTCTCCAGTCTCCAACAGGCAGCACTTCCTGGACTCTGACATTCTCTACCAGTTCTGGATCAACTTCCGACGGCGGCGACGTCTCACCGAGCTGCTCAGTGAGAATTCCTCCCGTGCTCTGTCTGAGAGCCCCGACAGCCCCTTCTGCCTCCGCAAGCTCAACCCAGAGCCAGGCAACACCAGCTTTCTCTCTGGTAACTGTCTCTGCGTATTTGAAGGGTGTGAAACCGAGGCTTACGCTGCCAGAGCATCTAAGGGCTGAGGTGTAGCTCCAGCATACACCATAGGGTGCTCCTCCAGACTTCTTATGAAGTAGCCACATGTCCTGCGTGCTGGTGGATGTCATGGTGCAGTGGCAGTCTCTATCACAGTTCCCCATTCCAGGAAAAGCAACTCATCAGCTCGGCTCTTGGTCCTTCTGTAAGGCTAGTTTTATTCTGCCTAAACTCAAATGCTGTATTTGGTGCATGCACATCCTTCAGATGTGGGTCAGGCTGCTGTGGGAAGTTTACTACACTGATCTGTTCCTTCCCTGGGTAACTGTTACTTCTGACTTTTGCAGTCCAGCCCAACAAGGAGATCAAAGTTGTCTCAGCAGTTCGGAGGAGCAGCATCACTTCCCTCGCTGGAAACTCCAACCCCTACTTCAGCATTACTCCCACTCTGGTTTTCCCTCCTGTGGCTGAGTGCAACCCCAAATCAGGTCTGGGCTCCAGCACTGTCCTTTTTGCTACACAGGACACATCTGTTCCCTTGGGCATGAGCTGCCTTATTATGTGCTTTAGTGTATGAAACCCTCAATTCTGATCAGATCTGTCACCTTCTGCCCTAGTGTTAAAGAGACCCGTCACCAATGAAGAGCTCCTGTCCCCTGGGGCCCCCTACGTCAAGAAGACACTAACTGTAAGTGACCATCATGAATGGTGTCACTGCTCTGATGGCACCGAGCTCTCTTTGATCACTTTCTGCTTTGATCACATTTTGCTGCTCTGACCTCTCAGCATTGAAACTTTGATTGCATGTCACCTCATCCCAGCTCCTTCATGGTGTGTCTCAGTGGGTCGATGTCTTCGCACGTCCTTGTTGCTGAAAGCGGCAGTGACCGCTGTGGCCTCTGCTTTAATTTAATATATATCAGAGGGATATCCAGGAAAGAAAATGTTTCCTGGACAGGAGAAATCCAATTTTTGTATCGCCAGCTCCACACAAACTGTAGATTCAATCAGGTCTTGTGGCAGCTGGGGCTTTGACACTCATCCTGTGTGTCACAGAGATGTCACCTTTGCAGTGCTTTATTCAGCTTCTGATTTCCTGTTGCGGAGAAGATATATTAATGTGCTCTGTCAGCTTCTGATGGAGTAGAATTGAAGGGGGAACATTCAAGGGCTGCTCTTCCTTCACAATGATGGGCTTTCTGTCATGAATAAAATAAGCCCCCTAGTTTGGGGCTTTTGCTTTTCACATTATTTCTAGAGCTGTAGGATCACATTAAAACAGCCCTGCCTGGGCTGGGGGCTGTGAATGTCACAGGACAGTTCTTGCCCTGAGGATCCTTTTGTGCTTGGCTATTTCTGACTCTCTCTCTATGCTGGTTTGACTCAGGTGGGTTTGGATCTGATCCCCAAGTTAACTAGGCTGCAGAAATTGGAGGGAAAGAATGAGGAAAAGAAAGCAGCTGGTTGGTGTGGCATGCATGAAGATGTGCCACTCGTTCTCCTTCTGAACGCTCTTGCCCTGCCCTTCAACTCTGCCAGCTGGGGCCTTTCATGGCTCATTGCATTCTGCTTCGCTGTGCACTTGCTGTTATTTATTTATATGGCTAATGTGCAAAGTCCTTCAAGAATTCTTTTTCTCCTTTAGTCACATCATATGGCTGCAGTGTTAAGGCAAACTGCTTTGACAAGCTGAGATCAGAACAGGAAAGGTTAGGAGTGGCTGCTCCCATCCTGCAAATTCTGCATTAAGGCACAGTGTCCCTGTGTTTTGGAAATGCTTGGTGAGCTCTTGGTGCACACCCTGCACTGAACTTCATGTTGGCATAAGAGAAATGAACAGTCCAGGAGGGCCAAGGCCCCTGTGTGCTGTTTTCAGGTGATACGTGTTCAAAAACCTTCCACAAACGCAGAGTGGAAAAATGAAGTCAATCTTTACCTGTGGCTGAACATGGAGGAGGAAATGGGACAATTAGAAGGGATGTGTCATTGCCAAGGATACTGTGAGAGACTCTGGCACAGGTGAATGAAAAAACCTCCAGGATTAAAAAGAGAAACAAAGACTGCCCTTGAAACCAATATTTGCAAGAGCAGTTTGTCCCCAGCTGTCGTGCATGGAGGTGGCAGAAGTATTTAACTGATATGGAAAGTTTCCTGGTGCCCAAGGATGCTCTCATTTTATCTGACAGACTGAGAAAACCACAAAGTAATGACAACTATTGCTAATGCAACTGGAAACAAAGAGTGAAGGTCTTTTTGTCTTCTCTCCCATGCTAGATGGAAATTAGGATCGCGAGCAGAGCTCCATGCATCAGTAGGAATTGCAGCAACCCCTCTATCCAGCCCATTCCTTTGTTCTAAGTCCTTTTGTTCTGCTTGCAGATTGTGGGGGATGCTGTGGGCTGGGGTTTTGTGGTCCGAGGAGGCAGACCGTGCCACATCCAGGCTGTGGACCCAGGAGGACCTGCTGCTGCTGCAGGCATGAAGGTACTCTGCTGGAGCCTGTCAGGCTGAACACATCCCCCATGGTAATCCCACCTTCTGCAGCAGAGGTGGAGTCAGTGCTCTGGTTGTGTTTGTCTGCTTTTAACAATGTGGTTCTGCATGGAACTCTTTCCCATGTGCATGAGAGCAGAATAACCTCAGACTGATGCCTTGATTTGGCTCCCCAGGTTGTGCCCAATATTCCTGGCTCAGGTGTGAGAAAGGGAGGTCTTGAACATCTCTTTAGACCCAGCATCTAAGCGTGAATGGGTTTTGTGTGTAGAGCTGCAAGCCTGGATTTAGGAGTGAATGAAAGAAATGGAGTTTCAGTTACCTCGTAAGAAGAAGAGCAGTGAGTGAGTGATTTCCACAAGCTGACACAACCCTGCAGCCACGTGGATATTTGAAATAATGGGGTTCTTCAGAGGCGAAGTGTGACTCTTGCTTCAGGCAGGGTTGGAAGGAGACGTGTGAGTTCATTTCATTTGCTCCAGAGCCTAGTTTGTTTCTCCTCACCTAATCTAATTTGCTACCAAATTGCTAAATGTTATTATTGTGCCTCATTTCCATCTGTGAAATGAACCACTGCTCATAAACGAGTAACTTCTCTCTCCATTAGCTCAGTCTAAATCCCTTTGGTCTCTTTTTTTATGATACAGTGATTATAGCACAGTGATTATTAGTGGAGCTTACAGAGTGGTGATGCTTTGGGCTTTGCAGGGTTTTGCAGTTATTGGCAATACAGCCTCTGGCTGCAGTCAGCCCTGAGCAGAAGCTGCTGTTGAAGGCATGAGCTGAATGTAACCAGCCCTTCCTCTCCCTGCAGGTGTGCCAATTTGTTTTCTCAGTGAATGGCATGTATGTTTTGCATCTGGACTATCAGACCATCAGCAGCCTCATCATGACCGGACCCCGGACTCTTGTCATGGAAATCATGGAAGCCATTGAATGAACGGAGGAGCTTCATCCCACCACCGTGTGGAGGAGGAGGGCACTGCAAAGTAGGGATGGACTGTGGGCAGGGACCAAGCTCAACCTTTCACTCTGAGATGTTTAGTCCGGCATTTTAGCATGTTTTCAAATAAACACGTTCTAATGGGAGAGTTTTGGATTTTGATGATGTTGAAATCTTCACCTCTAGCTGACCTTGAGCTCTCGCCACTCCTTTCTAATGCTGGTGGGAGAGTTGATGAAACCAAGTCTTGGAGCAAGCCAGCCACCCCACCAAGGCTGCAGGACAGGTGGTGCAAGCTGCTGGGCAGCAAGAAGTTTGGTACCAAGAAAATGAGCATGTCTGAGCCCCCCTGAGCTGTCTGTGCAGTCTACCACGAGCTCAATGAGCTTCCCAGATGGCTCCACAAGCTGTGCCATCAGCTGTGATGTATATGCTTCCTTGTAAATAAAGCCATAGGACCCTGCTACTGGTTGGGCTGGTTACTCTTCCCAACTGGGTTTTTTGAAAGGTAAGACTTCTACAGTAGCTCTTCTTGTGCCTCTAGTTTCAAATAATGCTTAAATTAATTAACCAGTGTCATCTTTAATGTTTTTATAAATGTCTTGGATACAAGACTTGAAGGTATGCTAAATAAGTTTGCAGGCAACAGGAAACTGGGAGGGGCTGTTGATGCCCTTGAGTGCAGAGAGGCCTTGCAGAGAGATCTTGACAAATTAGAGGGCTGGCAGCCACCAACTGCATTAAGTTAAGCAAGAGCAAGTGAGAATTCTGTTGCTGGGATGGGGTAACCATGACTCCATGCACAGACTGGGACACGAGAGTCTGGATAGCACTAGGACAGGCTCTGAGGGTCACAGTCACAGCCCTGGCTTCACTTGCAGGCAGTGTGGGACACTCATACGCAGCCTACTTTGAATGTAAGCTTGAATACAGGTAATAACAAGAACGTGGGGAGGTTTATTGCTCTCCAGTTCACACAGCATTCTGCTCATCACTTTGAACCTCCGGTCACTTTGATTTGTCTTGAAACGTGTGCTGATTTCCCTGCAAGATGTGGTGTGAGGCACTGCAGCGCAGCTGGCTGCCTTATTTCTTATGTAGACAGAGAGATGTGCTTCTCTCATACTGGTGCAGAGGGGTAGCACTGCTGGAGCACAGGCTTCCTAGAGCACGGTCCAAGCAAGTTGTTTGCACTGATAACCCACTGGGGTCTTTCCAGGCCCTAAGTGAAAGCAGACAGCCTTGTGAACTACACAAGCATAACCACTGGAACAGTCTCATTATTTTTCTGGCTTTGAATTTCCTAGAAAGCGAATGAAGCATAGGAGATTCGTGCCCTTTCGTTTCTCACCTTCTTGCTTTGCAGTAAACTGCTGCAAATCTGAGTAGCTGTTGAACTCCAGTTCAACAGCAGTTTGTGGTATTTAAATACAGGGCAGTGCCAGTTCTGTCTCCCCAGGTGCACAATACTTCACTTTAACAAGATTTAAGTGTTTTCTTTTCGTGTTACCCTTTGGTTTGTATATTCCGACGCTTTAAAGCTTTTACTAGATGATAAAATCTTCAGTGAACTACTAAATGTTTATTGTGCAAAAATATTTAGAAACTTTGATTTTCTTCCTTCCAACACTTCCAAGGGTGCCCATTTCCTGGAGAGTGAGCAGTGCACGTTTCCTGAAGCTCACTGTTGCCATGCAAGGCCGATGCCAGCAGTCAGCAGAGATCTACCTGCAAATCCAGTCTGCAGCAGGGAGGAAAAACATGACTATCGATTGTCCCATTCGTGGCAGTGAGGACAAAAGGTTTTGGATGAAGCCTTGGCTCTCCAGGGTTGTGTAGCCAAAGGTCAAGGCTGCAGGCACTGCTTGCTCTCCAGCTCATGAATCAGCTCCTGGCCTCGCAGAGCCTCCAGATGTGCTTAATTCCCCTATCCAAATGCAACACAATTGGCCTTCAGCACAAGCGCTGGGCTCTTAGAAATACTTAATGGGATGTGAATACTGGACTGAGTTCATCCCTGGGATCATGACAGAGGGTGGGAGGCACAGCTTCTTGCTGCGCTCTAGGAAATCAGCTTCCTAGATGGAGGTTTAGCACTGAGATAACACGAGCACTCCGTGCCTTTCATTGAGATTTACAGTCACAGGCTCATGCTTTCCTTGCGTGCTTTATCGAGCCACGTGTCTGGGCCACCGCTCTGCTGCACGGTGCAGAAGGGAGGTGGGGGAATCTCTGTCCCTCTCCCACTTCCTTCCTCCCTCCCTCCCCTCCCTTAACTGCACTGACTCTGGGACTGAGCTTTCTCTGTTGAGATCTCTCCAAGCACGCCGACACGCAGTGAGGCACTGGGGCTCCTTCCCCAACGTCTGAGAATGTAGCAGGATCCAAACTGCCTCCCGGCGAGCTGCTCCAACAGGTCTGTGCTTTGCTCCTTGCTGGTGCTTGATGTGCAGGGGAGGTCGGAGGGGCTGCGTTGTTTTGGGGCATGTGTGGGCAGCAGGGAGCTCTGAGAGGGTTCCCAGCCATGGGACGCTCGAGACAGCACTGGCAGTGCTGCAGAGGGGTGGCCTCAGGTCTTGTGTTTGCTGTAGTTCAGTTGTGAATGTCATCAGGACTGCCTTATAGAGAACAATCTTTTTTTTTTCTTTTTTTCCAGTGATGGCTGTTGGAGATGTGGTTTGATTTTCCTTTTCTTTTGTGGCTCACAGATTAAAACTTGCAGGGAATTTATGCCAAAGGTGCTGGCAGTGGCAGCTCAGGGTGCATTTCTTCCACCTGCAGGCATGGTGTGGGTCTGCAGCAAGCTAAAGTTCCTAAACCTGCCTGGTCCGTGCCTCACAGCAGACCTTATCCCTTACTTTTTTGAGACTGATGTGGAAAGGAACTGATGATTTTTGCTCAGTAGTGAAATAAATGCAGAAGATTTGCAGGCAAGAACAGACAGGGTTTGATGAATACAGGTTTTCTTGATCTGCTGTTGGTTGTTTAACTAGGAAAGTACTCAAGGAATGTGGGCTCCTGCAGCAGGCAGGTGGCACCTTGGGGAGATCCCTGCCACTGCCTGTGTGCAGGGCCATGAGGTGACATCACTGCCAACAATTCTGTGCAGGGCTGGTGATGTCCCCTGGGATAACAATGGGAACATCCCCAAACTATCAGCTGGTTCATGGGGCTGCGGTGGGCAGAAAGAATTCACACTGCTCCTATGTCCTCGCCAACTTAAAAATGCAGCAGGGATATTTCTGCATAAAATCATTGTTTTTTTTTTTTTTTTTCTCTTTAATTGAAGTGGCTGTTCTTACCATTTCCTGCACAAATCAGGGGATCTCATACTGCCTTAATCTCCAAATCCGATCTGAGCACACAGCTGGGACAAAGGGGGAAGTGGTGTGTGTCCCCCTCCCATTTTCCAGGCCCTGGAATTACTCACCACTTGCTCCATATGTTGCTGTCTCTAAATTCTTTCCCCAAACAAGTAATGGGAGAGAGGCACAGGCGTGCAGGCAGCTCCCTGTGCTCTGCTGGGCTGATGTCATCGTGGTCCCCTGGTCAGGGGTCTGCAGCTCAGTCTGGCCATGGTGCCACCAAAGGGGAGAAAGTGGATGCAGAGGGTGGGAAATGGATGGGAAAGGCAGAAATGGGTGAGATTTGGGGTCCAATAAGTAACCCTATGGCACAAGGAAGCAATAGATTCTCCAGCTCTCATCTTCCACCATTTAAAACCACTGCTTTTGTTCTTCTTGATTTATGGATAGGAAAATGAAATTTGGAGAAGAAGTGCTGATGGTTTTGCCTCTGACATAGGAAGCAGAGATGAAGTCCTTGCTTCAGCCACAGTGCTGTGACAGTGTGACAGCTACAGTGCTGGAACTTACTGAGTGTAACCTGGGTTAATATCGAATTCTTCCTTACTGGCACATCCAGGTGAAAGCAGCTGATTTTGCAGCTCAGTGCAGGTTGCAGATGCCCATGTGCTTATTTCACTGGACTTTGGATCCCACATAACCCTGATTAACGTAAATGTCCTACGCAACACAGTGCTGTGCTGGAGTCCTGTTTGCCAGCAAAGCCGTAGGGAGGTGGCACAGAAATGCAGTGCCATTGCAGAATGGGACAAATGAGACCTCGAGTCAGGGAATTTTTTCAGAAATGCAAGCTCCTCTCTTCCCATTGCCACATTTACCCCTGCAGGAAGAGCAGGCTTTGCTCTTTTTGAGCACACAGATCGCAGAGCCCACCTGTAATATGCTTCTGTTTATGAGCGATGACTTCATCTTGTTAGCTGGAAAAAGGCAAGTGTTTCCCATGGCCAGGGGCTTCAGTTACACCGCAGTTGTTCCATATAACTTGATCTTCAATCAAAAAAAGTAATCACAGAGTATCATACATGAGTGTGTGTGCAGGGGGAGAATGGTTAATATCTATCTGTTATAACTTGCAGTATATTTTTCCATTCGTTCTTACAGCAATTTTGAACTGATTTTAAACCCAGGAGATCATGGCTAGGTCACTCCTGCATATTTATTTTTCCTTGAAATCATTTTAAAGCTGACATATCAGAGGAGATACAGGCATTTGCCAGGAGCCTGTAAATACCTGTTCATCAGAATGAAGGGAAGTGAAATGTCACTGCAGAGGAGGAAACTTGTGTACGGTCTGGGTCTGCCAAAAGCAATTGCGTAGCACAAAAATGACAGATGCCAATGATGCAAAAAACATCAGCATATGTTTTAAACCTGGTATACTGAGGCTGAGGCCATGGGGAGGCTCTGCATCTATGTGTTAGAGTGGTTTTATAATGACCTGACTTTTCTGTCCAAAATGACACCTAAGTCCAGGCCAGAAAGACAACAGAAGGTACTCGAGGTTTGTGACCCCTAGGGTAAGTTCTGAGGGGTGGGGATGTCACAGGGGGTTTTTCTAAGTCAAACTGATCCTCTGCCTATATAAAGTCTGTAATTGCATTTCGGTCTTGTTCAGGTGAGCAAGTCAAAACAAGACCATGTTGATGCACCCTGGATGTGACTGCTCAGGAACGCCACCATATATAATAAATGAAACTCTCATTCCTAAGCTGGTGACATATAAATTGAGTGGTACCTCTTTTGCTGCTTAATTGCTTTACTGTGATCATTGGAAACCCAGCCAGCTGAGAAGAGCACTGGATTGAAGCCTCCTCCCCATCAGATGTACAAACTTGTTTCAGTTCTGGTCCAAGGAGCTGAGCAGCTGTATTGAAGAGACCAGTAATACAGAATAATATCTAGGAATTGCAGAAAAGTTGAATGTGAGCTTCACCACTTAGTGCTGTCAGTGATGGAAAGAGCTGTATATCTCAGCTCGTGGCTCCTTCACTGGGGGCTGGAAAAGAAAATTAAACAGCAACAGAACAAAAAATAAAAGCAATAACAAAAACAATAACAAAGTCCATTACAGCAACAAGCTTCTGTTTCCAGAGCCATAACAAAGCCCAGATGGTCACTACTGACATCCCTCAGAGAGCAGCAGGGCTTGCAGTGTGGAAGAACTGATTCAGGTGGGTTTTGGCATGGCAAAAAGTAACTGCAGCTCCTTCTTCCTGGTGCTTGCTCTCACAGGTCCTGCTCACCATGCTGATTCGCACCTGCTTCTTTTTTGCCTGCCTGCCTGTGGCAAGCCACGTCTGGGGACGAGGGGGGCAAGGTAAGGAGCTCACCTGCACTGCTCTGGGGAGGCTCTGGGTTGGAATCTGGGCTAAGCTGCCAGCCCTTCTGGTGGGGAAGCTCCAAGCAGCGTATTCTCATATTTAAAGAGCAATAGGAGATCAGGGAGGCAGTGCTGGGAGAGTGTCTCCATCCCACCCCACTCTGCAATGCCTGTTCTCATCTCTGGCAGCAGCTCAGAGTGCCTCTCCCTTGCACTGGGGATGCATTTCAGTCTGTGTAAGCAGGAGAGGATCCTTGTGGGGTCTGCTAACAGAGCTTGAGAAACAGAAAGAAAAAAGTGTTGCTTCTGTTCATTGTCATGTCTGTCCTGCACTGTGAAACTGTGGAGCTACGTGGTGATGTGTGACATCTGGGTAAGAGAGTACATGATGTGAATTCTCCTGTAGCATGTAGAGCTCCCACAGTGCCATGAATGAGCAGAAAATACCGATAGCACCTCACCATTTCCTTTCCACCTTTCTATTCCATATGAACCATCCATATGAGGGATCACGACAAGGTTTTCCTGAGAGGTGATGGCATGTCACATTCAGGAGGATAGGCTTATCTCTGCGCTGTGCATCTTCCACACAGTGTGTCTGGGCTTTGCTCCCCATCAGCTGGAGAGCAAGGTTACAGCATCAGAGAGCACACATCCAACACAGGGCAGAGAAACAGTGGGGCTTTCATGGCACCGGGCTTCATTTGCATCCAGCACATAATGGAGCTTCAGAGGATGCTGTACTTTCTGATCTCTCTGGGGACATTCTTGCCTTTTTAACTTCTGGGCTCCTAGAGCGATGGCCAAGGAGTTGGACCACACTTGTCCAGAAGAAGACAGCTTCATGTTTCCTCTATGAATTCCCCTCATTGTTGCATGATTTTTTATCACTTCTCTTCGGCACGATTCTGAGATTTGATTTTGCCCCTCACCCCTCTTCCCCATGTTTTCTTTCTTCTTCTTTACATTTGCATGGGGTGAGATGTGAATTTGAGCTTTGTTTCCCCAAAATAGTTGTCTGCTTATTAGGCAGCCCACAGGAAGTCTCTGCAAGAAGAGGCTGAGGCACAGATGCTGGGTTGAGCCAAACAAGTCCTTGCTGCCAGCTCCCACTGCTTTCCTGCGCTGTGACTTCATGCAAAGATGTCGGGAGATGTCTGACACCATGCAAGACCAAATTAGGAACATGTGGAGTCCTACAGAACACACAGTGTGCCAGTGCTGAGCATGATTTTTGACACAGAGGGTGGTGATGCACTGGAACAGGTTGCTGGAGAAGGTTGTGGATGCCCCATCCCTGCAGGCATTCAAGGCCAGGCTGGATGTGGCTCTGGGCAGCCTGGTCTGGTGGTTGGTGACCCTGTACATAGCAGGGGGGGGGTTGGAACTGCATGAGTATTGTGGTCCTTTTCAACCCAGGCCATACTATGATGCTCCAGGTCACCTTAAGCTTTATTTATGTATGTATATTTAATAAGGAGTGAGAAAGGGAAAGAATCATAGAACCATGAAGGTTAGAAAAGAGCTCCAAGATCCCCAAGTCCAATCCCAGCCCACCCCACTGTGCCAACTGCCCCCACCTCACAGCTCTGGGACACCTCCAGGGACAGTGACCCCACCACCCCCTGGGCAACCGTGCCGCTGCATCACAGCTCTTTCTAGGAATAAATGTTTCCTAACATCCATCCTGACTCTCCCCTGGCACAATGTGAGGCCATTAGCAAGAGATTGGTAACAGCTGCCAACGAGGTGGGCATTTGAAGGCATATATTATTACTGTGCAGACAAAGGAGGCAGTTGCTCATTGCACATGAAGGAGCCTGCTGGAAAGACAGCTGTAGGTGCAGGAGCAGGGAAGAGGGGAGACAAATCTGCTGAGTTGCCACCCTACAGCTAGTCAAGTGGGAATGTTTCATACAGTGACATTTGTATGACAGTGTGACTGTATTTCCCTGAGGGATCTCTGATTCAGAGACTGACACATGGGTGAGACATTTAGCAGGGCTTTAAAAGATCTCTGAGAAATCTGGAGCTGATAAGAGAATGTGCTCTTTCTTCTTTTTACCTCCTTGTCTGATACTATTTTTTTCATCAGGATTTGTCGTTTCAGTTCACTGATCCCTGCAGTTCACTGATCCCAGTGCAAGCTGGTGCCCGTGAGTTACGGTCCTGCCAGGAGGTGTTAGTTACACTTTGTCAGGTTTTCTCTCCTTTTCTCTCTTTCTTTTTTTTTCTTTCCTCTCTAAACCCAGCTGATCCCTGGAGCTTCCTCCTAAACAGTCTTTCTGCATAAGGGTGGCATTCGTATCCTGGGGAATTTCTGTATTTTTCAGCAGCCTAAGTTCACTGTAGAGCCTCATTGACTCCCAGTATCTATTCCCTTCCCTTCTATTTCAGACATCTGCACCAAAACCCTTGCTGAAACCACACACATGCCATGAAGGTTCCTAGTAAAGACTTGTAGTGTGAGAAGAGCACAGAGGAACTCTGACTGCTTTGCTGTTTTCCTCATTTGCAGTAGCACGTAGTGAGGGCTCACCCAGAGAAGCTGCCCCTTAGCATAGGATGGAAGGTGGATTTGCAGCGATGGGTTTCCTGGTCCAGGGGCAGCAGGAGTGGCTGTGCAATGTCAGGGGATGCTGAGTGTTTGTATGGGATGATGAAGGTTCCATTTGCACTGCAGCTGTCCCTGTGTCTTTAGTAGACGTAGCACGTGGGGGGTTTCATGCATGTGTGAGTGTGTGCAGAGGGAGGAATTGCACCCACAGTGGGATGGGCACCTCTCCTCCTCCTCAGGGTCAGGCCGGCTGAAACTCACAGTCCTTTCAGAAGACAGGCTCCAGATGAAATGGAAAGAAACCGAAGGAAACATCAATGGCTACAAAGTGCGGGTAAAGCCTATGGCAGGTATGTGCTACCCAGCAGATTGCTCTGAGTGAGGGATGGGCCCCCAGCTTCTGTGTGGCGCTGGGTGTTTGCTGGATGCTCTTTCTCCTTGTCTGCACCATTGAATGTTTGCCCAGAGTGGAGAGGAAGACAGAAAACAAGTTCACGGAGCAATGGTTATAACTCTGTCACTGCAGGGGTCCTGTTTGTCTCATCCTCAGGGACGGGATGTCCTTGGCCCCATACATGGGGATGCTCAGCCCGTGGCTCCCTGCCCTGGATGAGCTCCAGCTCTCCTCGACTTCTGACTCCAGACAGGCACTGCAGGAAGGGCACTGCGTCCTCATGGGGGAGCAGCATCCGGGTGCAACCTTAGCTTGTGCCCATCTGCCTGCTTTTAGCTCAGCCCCCAGCTGTTTGCCCAGCCGGTGCTGGAGGTTTCTCATTCCTCCCCTGCCAGGGAGCGATGGGCATCCCAGGAACGTGGGGAATCCTCGCGTTGAGCACGCCTGAGGCTTTCCCCGTGTGTGGGCTGGAGCTCCGTTTCCAGCCCTAAGGGTGACAAGATCAGAAATGCATCCATTCCCACATATAAAGGCTCACACACCTTTCTTACTCAGATGATTTTAGGGAGCTGCTTTGCTTCCCTTCCTTTGCTTTGTTCTTCTGGTTCAAAGTTTCTCCATTCCACCCCTCGTAACAGAGACACGGTGCAGTATTTAGCTGTGGTTTTGCAGAGCTGCCTTGCTTTATCTGCTCCTTGCTGTGCAGAGGACAGCTTCTGTTAGGGAGAGATGAGGTTTGCAGAGGGAACACAGCAAAAACGACTGCATTAAGTACAATGAGTCCCAAGGGCCAGGACAGAACTCTGGAGATATCGGAGCACTTCCTCACTTTGTCACGAATGACCTCAAGGACATCACTTGGTTTGATGTTTCCATAAGTGGTGTTTGCCCAACCTTCACCCTCTGGGATCTGGCCTTTCTGTCAGCTGTTCTTTGAGAAGTCAGTGGGAGTCACACTAGTGCTAGGTGGGAACTTGTTTTCCATTTGGAGCATGTATCAGGGCTTTTTAAAAGACTTTCTCAGCTCTGAAAGCAGAGATCTACAGAATTAAAAATTAAATTAGAATTGATTGAGGTCCCCAGACAGACATTCTCTATATTTCGGTGGTATTTCTGCTATTGTCAGCTTAAATGTAAGCTCTAACAGTTTCTGAACTGTGGCTTCATCCCACCTCAGGGGACTCGGAGCAAGAAGTCATGCTGAAAACAAAGACTCCCAAAGCCACGGTGGGGGGGCTGAGCCCTACCAAGGAATACACACTGCAGGTCTATGTGCTCAATGGCTCCCAGGAAGCCTTATTCGCCAAGAGGAAATTTGTGAGTAAGTAAAAAGATCAACATTTTACCATTCTGAGGGCTCTTGGAGATGTGACTCCTCAGAGCTCATCCTCTGGCAGATAAATAGTAGAATCAAGAATTCATTTGAATTGGAAGAGACCTTTAAAAGCCATTTGGACCAACTCCCCTGCAGTGAACAGGAGCATCCACAGCTCCATCAGTGCTCAAAGCCCTGTCCAGCCTGACCGTGAGTGCCTCCAGACATGGGGCATGCACCTCCTCCCTGGGCAATCTGAGACGCCCTTATTGTATTACATTACATTCAGTGTCCCCATAGACTGTACTGAAGCCCATTACTTTTTTGTTGGAAGCTTGGAGAGTGGTGATGATGAATACTGATGGGATAAAGGTTGGACCATGACTCACAGACCCATCTGGATTGACTCCTTCTTGTATTTGTGATTTCTATAGTAGAGGACCTTAAAAATGCATCCCAGACTAGAAATAACCGAAGGAACGCAGGAGCTGCACCAGGAAAGAATCTCACCTCTGCGGGCAGCTCAACAGTTGAGCAGAGCCTGGGGATGGAGACAGCTCCACCACCCTTGAGCACCATCCTGACACATCCAGGTGGGTGCACGGAGTGTCCTGGGGCCGCTGCCTTGCTATGCGCACATATGAGCGATGGAAATGTAATCTTCAAGGCAGTAACATAGGAAGGGAAAATGTATTCTTTTTCTGTTTGGAGCACAGCAAAGGACAGAGCTGAAAAGAAAAGGCACAAAGGGACTCAGCCCAAGGGCTCAGGAGAAACCACGAGGAGCCAGCCCAGTGTTGGTGTGACACAAACACCATCACCAACCACAAAGTCATCCCAGCGTACCACTGCAAACGTGGAGCGAGAGTCTCTAGGAAAAGAAAAACCCACAAGGGATTCACTGAGGAGAGGTGAGAGCTGCTTCAAGCGTGTCCTGCTCTCTCTCCCCCACTGTTTTCTCTAGCGATTGCTAAACACAATCCTTCTAGCTGTCTCTCTGTCACCTAGGGAGCATGAGTGCTGCTGCTGCTCTTATTTGCTAGATCATGCTTTGGAGAGCTGCCAAGGATCACCCAAAGAGTTTGGAGTTCTGCAAAGCATTACAGATATAAAGGAAAACTGGAGCTAAGACAAAAATTCCTTTACAAGAGGAAAGAGTTTTTTAATGAATTGATTTCCCACTGTTCTCTCTATGCATGTTACCACCTCTTCCTGCTCCAGACTGACCCGTACAGGTTATCATTCTCCAGCACACGCTGGCATCCTGGTCTTGTTCTTCACATTTCCCAGCTAACTGATCCTTGCTGAAACTTTAGATCCTCCGACTGAATGGCTCACAGTACTTTTGAAGTGGTGGGAAGGGCTTGGCTAGAACATCCCTCTTTGGTCCCTTGATAACAGTAGAAATTCATAGTTATGAGAAGAGATAGGAGACTGACCTGTTTGCATCTCAGTGCAGTTGGATGGTACTATCTATTTCCCTCTAACAAAGATGGAAAATTCTGCATCTGAAAAATATTTAGTGAAGATGCATTCAATCATCAACATGCCCCATCTTATCCTCTGTTAAGCTGAGTGCCTGAGGTGGAGAGAAAGGCAGTTCTTATGTATCTGTGATGAAGATTTTTGCAGAGAGATTGGATTCAATATAACACCAGGAAATAATTATAGCCCACAGGGGATCTCACAATGGAATGTTATTAAGCGATCACCTGCAATTCTTTTGGAGACTTAGGCTCGATTAAAGGGAAGAAAGGGCTGGGGCTGAGATGTAATGGAGCTGACAGCCTGCAGAGAGCAATGCTTGGCCTAGGCACGCACTTCCCAATGGGTTTAACACTTTCTTCACAGAAAGGTTGCTACTCACTGCTCAGTTTCTTGATAGTGAGTTATGTTGCCCTTAGCCATGTGGTTTTCCCAAGATGCTGGGATGTGTCGGGCTGGCAGATGGTCCAGGGCTTTACACTGCAGACTTGCTTCTCATCTTAAAAATGAAATATTTTTCCTCCTTTGCAATTGCTTCTCTCCATATCAAACATTGTTTCTCCACAGGTTACCAGTTCCAATGTGACACGTCTGCAATGACTGATATTGTCCTGCTTGTGGATGGATCATGGAGCATTGGGCGCAACAATTTCAAGCTCATTAAAGACTTCCTGAGCGCTTTAATTTCCCCATTTAATATTGCCCAAGACAAGATAAGAGTAGGTAGGAGTCTTCCCTGTTTCCTGACCTTGGGAAATGCCTCCAGAAGGGACCTTGGTCTCTATTTCTGTGTTATCGTGCTGCCCTAGGGAGTTTTATTCCTTTTGGCTGGATTCTGTGCATCGATCTTGACAACTTTCCCATCTGGTAGCAAGCTCTGGCCTCTAGCGGCTGTAGGAAAGAGCTGCATGGTGAACAAAAGCAATGTGTGAGCAGCAGCAGGCTGGGTGTTGGGGGAGCACACAATTGATGCTGAGATATGCTTGGAGTTTGCTGTCTCCCTCTGATGGGGTGCTCACCCTACAGAGTATGACACAAAGGTGGGCTGGCAATGCCACACTGGGGTTTCTTTGATCTCAGCTGAGAACAGAGCCACTTCCAGCTCTGAGGGATGCTGAACCCAGTTCTGAGGGATGCCAAACCCAGTGGATGGCACTGGCTAGGCTGTGTGTGAAACAGGGCAACGTAAATCCTTCCTGTACCTTGCAGCTAGCTAGTTTGTTCTTGAATTACTCTGAGACCTTAAAATGCTTCAGAGCACCAGTCAGAGGTTACTACCACTCCAAAAGTGGAGTTAGGAGCCAGGTCTGCTCACTCCCTTTCCGATTCATTACTTTGTGTCATCCGCCCATGACAAGCCCAACACCTCCTCCTCAAAACAGGTCTCCTCTTGCAGCCTACCTTGGCTCGCACAGTGTCGATAGCTCTTGCCTTCCCCAGGGCTGTCCCAGTACAGCAGCGATCCCCGCACAGAGTGGGATCTGAGTGCTTATGCAACGAGGGACCAGGTGCTGGAGGCAGTGAGGAACCTGCGCTACAAGGGTGGCAACACCTTCACAGGTAACTCCATCTCTCAGATCACAGCAAGGCTGCGTTGGGGGAAGTTGTTCCAATGGGATAGCATCTTCCTTGGGGGACAAAGTGAATGAGGGAAGGATAAAGGTGGAGAAAGGATAAAGTCTGTTGGCTGTAGCTCACCATCCATCTGTTCTCCTCCCCAGGCCTGGCGCTCACCCATGTCCTGGAACAAAATCTGAAGCCAGATGCTGGTGCCCGACTGGAAGCTGAGAAATTGGTAATCCTCCTGACTGATGGAAAATCCCAGGATGACGCCAGCCTGGCAGCTCAGACCTTGAAAAACGTGGGCATAGAGATATTTGCTATTGGTAAGATCACAGACATCAAGCCAACCTACCTTCCCTCTTCATGCTGAAGCTTATGTTCTCTCAACGAGGACAAGAACATCCTGAAGCTGTAAAGCTAAGGTAGTAAGTAGGACTGTATTGCAGTGGGGCTGAGAAGAAAAATAAGCACAGGTAGTGTCTTCAAATGAGATTTTGTTAGCTTAAGGAAAAAAACACTCATTCTCAAGAGATTTTACACCGTCTGTCTATAAAGACCTTTGCTAGTCTCAGCAAACTGTGCCATGAGAATAGTATTCTCTGCTGTGGAATTAGGCAAGAGAATTTTGTAATTACCTTGTAATTGCTGTCTCTCAGAACTTACAGTTTTTCTGAATAATAGCATTATCTGCTTTTTACTGTCTGGTAGCAATAATGAGACAAAAAATGATTTCAAGCAGCTCTGTCCTCGATGACTACACAAGTCTGCTAAAGGGTAAAGCACAGACAATAAAGTTATGCAGAACACTCTCCTAAAACTGCAACCTCCAGCACTTTATGTGCTTATTTAAGTCGGGAACACACAAGCAAGGCTTTATTACATACAAGTATGTACATAGTTGTCTATCACTTGGATTTCTTTCATGGACTGAGTGTAGCTGCTGAGCCTCAGCTGTGTGCTGGACTGTGCAGCTGAAATGACTTGCAGGTTGGGTCCCAGCTGGGGTCTGTGCTTCCCCTTTCTTACTAAAGGAAGGTTGTGTTGTTTGGTCCTGAGACTGAATTAATCCCAAGACACCTTAGTTCTCACCACAAGAGGAAAGGGAGAAGGACCCCTGCCTCACCTGGGCAGTGCTAAGATGGCCTAAAGGCTAGCACTGGAAAACAAAATCAGCTGTCTGCTGTTGATCCCCACAACCAACATCCAAGCAGAAGGCAGAAGTTGTCCTCTAAAGGAGCTTCCTCAGCCCTGTGCTCTGCTGTCTGTAGGGGTGAAGAACGCAGATGAGGCTGAGCTGAAGCAGGTGGCCTCAGAGCCACTGGAGCTCACAGTGTACAACGTGCTGGACTTCCCCCTGCTCAGCTCCCTGGTTGGCAGGCTCACCCGGGTCCTCTGCAGCAGGATCAAAGAGAGGAGCAGCAAGGAGAGTGCAGGTGAGGTGAAACCTTGGTGATGATGAGTTTCGTCCTGCTTAACATCAGCTTTCCTTGCCATCAAAAAATCTCCTTTCTCAACATCCTTTCCTGTACCTTTCCCTTCATGAGCTCTACCACCTCCTTAGCACCATCTGACTCTTCTTTCCTGTGCTGATCTCCTTGCTCAGTGCTATTGCTGCCTGAAAATAGTCCTTGCCAACATTTTGGCCAGGTTCAGCTGTGATCTTGGTGTTTACAAGACTCTCTGGATGCAGCTCTTCCAGTCTCACTCCCTGCTGTTGTGAACAAGCCGTGGAGGGACTTGCAGGTGTTTCTATTCTCTTGCTCTTGATTTAGGTATCTGCTCTTATCCTTGCCAATACGGGCAACAGCCATCCTCACCAGGGCCTTGGATACCTTTTGGTGGCTGTAAATCATTTAATGGCAATAACTAGCATTGTAGGCTTCTATTCTACATTTTTGTTATTTTACTGTGTGAAAAATGCGTTGCAATCATTTTTTCTCTCCATTTCTTTCAATCAACAGGAGGAATTCAGCACAAAAGAGCTAATTTGAGAATATAGTAGTTGTATGGAAGAAATCTGGAAGTAGGAAGAGGAGACAGCAAAGCATCTAAACACTTTTTTTTCCTTGCACTTTATATAATCTCCAAGGCATCTTCAAATCAAAACCAAACACTCGATTTCTTTTCGTTTTTTTTTGCTGGAGGGCAGTTTGCATGATGTACAAGAGAGTGAAGAACGACTCCAGATGTTAGCTTAGATCCTCAGGAGAAATATCACGTACACATTTCCGTCTCTCTCTTCTCTCAGACTTGCCTAGGGAGAATGGGAAAGTAAACTTTCAAGCACACATTTATTTTAATGCTCTGTGGATAGACGTAGACATAATTTGATTCGTTCTTATTAATTTGTACCTGTTTGATGTAATTGGGCATCTTTTTACAGGTACAGGTTAGCCTAAAGAAAGATGGTTGCATCGAAAAAGAAGCCAAAATAACTTCTGGTTCATTTTGACAGATCTTCATAATTGAAAAAAAGCTGGGTCGTGTTTTGGATGCAGGCAAAAATGCATATTTCTGTTGAAAAGAATATTCTCAGCAACCAGAAGTATGCAGAAATTATTCTCAATGGAGTATTTATGTTCTCTGTTTGCTCAGTTCTTAACTATTTATTTTACAGCAGTTTGGAACCGTTTCTCAGCTCTGTAGGGAAGGAGACTGCAATTTGACTTAAAAAATGGCAGTTGTATTTATGAGCTAGGAAGTATATTTGGCATGAGAATCTGAATACAAGAAAGTAACCGCGTTTTTAATTCCCAGGTAGAACTGTGAAAGATATCCCTACAAATACAGGTCCACAGCTGAGCCCAACAGACCTTAAAATATCAGCTGTGACTTCTAAAAGCATGCACTTGGCCTGGAGTCCTCCTGTGAGTCCACCAAAGAAATACCGGGTGGTGTACAATCCATCGAAGGGCGGCACTCCCAAGGAGGTAAGAGGTACCTGTTGGACACTGCAGTGCCTTCCAGTCAGTGGCTGGGAATTCAGGCAGACCTGGGTATGCAGAGCGATGAGGGTAGGAGTGCATTGAGCACAGGACACCAGCTAAAGCCAGGAATGAAACTGAACACTGAGTGCAAATGTGACAAGGTGATAGGATGGCAAGGCAGAAGAGGAAATTGGGTAAATACTGTGTTGCTAGAACTACTGCAAGTTATACCCATGCAGTTTTCTCTTGCACAGTGTTATCCCCTCCCTAAGGCACCTCAAAGAACACACACAGATACACAAAGGTGTTCAAGGATGCTCATTGGTGACAGATAGAATCAGAAAGGCAAATCCAAACACTTGGATTGTCCTTAATTATACACTTCAACTTTTGGTTAGCCCTGAAGTGGTGAGACAGTTGGGCTTGAGTATCAGTCAGGTCCCTTCCAACTGAAACTGTCAATCATGGAATCGCGTTCTGCCCCATTCACTGCAGTGAGAGCATGACTGGGGTCTTGTGCTATGTGCTTGTACAGATCCAATCCTTCAAGGGCAGGAATGCTTACAGCCTGCTATCTCCATGCTTCCCAGGGAAGACTGCTTCAGCTTTTCCTTTGCCGTGGAGTGGCTGACACTTCCCAGACTTGACTGTGTTCCTTTGTATTTCAGGTGCTTCTGGATGGAGCTGTCTCCTCTCTGTGGCTTTCCAACCTGACCTCGCACACAGAGTACCTGGTGTCGGTGTTTCCCATTTATGACACAGCTGTTGGGGATGGGCTGAGAGGCGTCACCTCCACATGTATGTCGTGAGTAGAGAACATTCCTCTGACGTGTGTTTGTGGGAGGTGAACATAGCCTTGCCTTTGCAACCACCTCATTCTGGAGCCTGGCACTATATATTCCGCCTCCCTTTGGTTCGGAAGGTTTGTCTGCAAATCTCTCCATCTCTGGAGATGTTCAGAACTTGGTTGGACAAGGGCCTGAGTAACCTCCTCTAATTTGGCTCATCAGGGTTGGACCAGAGATCCTCAAGTGTCCCATTCCACCTATGTCATTCTGCAAGTGACACCAGTGTGCCGAGCTCAACCTGCTAACACACCCCAAACAGAAATTTTCTACAACCCTTGTCCCTTTTCCACCCTTGGGCTGTAAATGAACTAATCCTACTCCTTGACAAGTGGCTGTGTTAGATGCAGGTCAGGTCCCCCCCAGCTTGTTGTAAAGCCAACTCTCCTCCGGGGCTGGAGCTGCTGCAGACCTGCTGAAAGTGTCTTTCTGCCACATTTCTCTCCCAGTGCCTCTGTCTGCCCCCCGCTCCCTGCGTGTCTCCGAGCTGAGCCACAACAGCATCAGGCTGAGCTGGAAGGCAGCCCAGGGAGCCACGCAGTACCTGGTGCTCTGCTCTGCAGCCCCCGATGGAGCAGAGGATGATACAACAGAGGTACGCTCCATGAGAATGGTGGCAATACTGCTTTTCCTTTGTCTCTCCTCAGTTAAAGAGTCCAAAATCAGTGCCTGTCTCTCTGTGTGGGGTTGAGTTCTGACAATACCATACAGAGCAGACCTGAAGCACAGAAACCTTTGGCAGCCCAGTGGCTGAGTTCACACCTCTGCAGCCTCAAGAATCACTTCTGCATCCTTGAGACTGCACAGAAATATGTTTGCTTTGCTTATCTTCAAATGCTGACTGAAAATTTGTTAGGGCAGCTTTCACTGACCTCTAAAAAGAGAACTGTGGCAGTGTATAAAAAATAAAGCAATGCCAGACGAGTGGAAAATCCTTACAAACTTCTAAGGTGAAGTTCACAATATGAACATTTTAAAGTAAACACTCAAAATATGAACACTTTAATGAGTCGTCAGAAGTGCCAGCATTACAGTGTTCCCAGCCTTTTACAAATCTCTGGCTTTGCTGCATGCAGACTCCTGGAAGTCGCTGGGTCCCTGCAGCAAGCAGGCTGTGCAGGGAGGGCTGTGCTGTGCAGTGTTAGCGGCAGGTGGCAGCAGCCCGGCTGCTATGGCCCTGCTTGCAGCAGGCAGCTCTCATGCAACCTTCCCAGGCCATAGAGGAAAGGAGGCTCACCATCTCACATAAAACCTTGCTTTCTTGAAGCCCCTTCCATCCCCTCTCGCTGTGTGACACAGGGATGCTGCACTCTGTACACACTCCTCTCTCCACTGAGTGCTGTAGAATAGTTGGAAATGGGAGAGAACTATGCTTCCTGCTCTGTTGCCTTTCTTTTGGGGGAATTTTCACCAAGAATACATATTTTTTGCATCCTACTATCAGAAATCAACCCCTAGCTTTGTATTTGCAATAGTGGAAGCCACTCTGCTTTTTACATCCATACTCATCTTTTCATTATAATGTATTTCCCAGGAAAATCTCAATATTTTCCTTACAAAAAATGTCATGTTTGAACTTACTTCAGGTACCCTGATCCAACCCAGAATAATAGTATCACCTCTGTATGAGAGATACACCTCTGCAGGCCCTGGGAGGAGAAATGGATGTGAGCCCTCAATGTACTTGGTGTCCCCTGGGGAGGGAGGGAGGCAGAGAAGCTCTGACAGTGCAAAGCACATGTCCGAGTGGATATTAGAGGGCAGCCCAGAATGGAAGGGTGTCCTAGAACTGAAGTGTTCCCCAGGACTGAGAGGTACCCAGAACTGAAATGTCTCCCTGAATTTCTCCTGTGACAGATGAAGGTGGCTGAGCCCGAGGTCCTTCTGGACAGGCTGTCACCCAACACTGAGTACTCCATTGCAGTGTATGCGTTGTATGGGGAAGATGCCAGTGATCCAGCCAGCATCCAGGAAACCACCTGTAAGTGCTGCTGTTGGTTAAGTTGTTTTTAAACACTCAAGGGGGGAGAGATTAAATAAGTTAGGGGTTTCTTGTATTGTGCCTGTGGCTTGTAAATCCTGCTTTTTCTTAATACTGGTCCCTAAGATGGTCTCTAATCTCCTGGTGAGCTGTGAAGCAGTGATTCCCCCTGTTAAAAGAGGACTCCTAAAGGGACTGTTCCTTAAGATCTTTTTGTCTGGGGAGAAAGGAGGAATTTCTTGGCCATTTCTTCACCTAAAGCGCAGATAGCATTCCATGACATACCACAGAATGGGAATCATTTTGAGTCTTCTAGTTCAAGATGGAGTCACTCGCAAGTAGCAGGAGGCAACAAGCAGCGTTGCTTTGGTGCAGCCTTTCAAACCCTGAGTGCTGTCACTCACTGTGTTGCAGTGGCCTTGAGCCCTCCCAGGTACCTGAGCTTCTCAGAGCTCAGCCACTCATCCGTGCGGGTCAGCTGGGAGCCAGCAACACTGGCAGTGAAAGGTCATCGTGTCACCTACGTGTCTAGCAGAGGGAGCAACACTGGGGAGGTGAGTCCTCAGGGGCTGCTGGAGGGAGAGCTGGGAGGTCATACACTGCCCTGTTCTCTCTGGTGCATGAAGGGAGTGTTATCTCTGAAATGGGCACTTCTGAGGGATGTGCGAAGGGATCTGCAGCTGTCTCCATGTTCTTTTCTCCCAACTCATCCCGTTCCATTGCAGGTTGAGGTTCTTGGCACTGCAGTGTCCACTGTCCTGAGACCACTGTCCTCCCTCACCCAGTACTTCATCAGTGTCCGATCTGTGTATGATGAGGGTGACTCCTTTCCAATCACTGGCAACGTCACCACTTGTAAGTAGGCAGTGGAAATGGTTTCTTTCCTATTGACCAAACTGTCCTGCGTGTGCCTAAACTGAGATGTTTTCAGTGCTGGTCCCAGCAGCTTATGGCCAAGATCCCTGTACAAAACTGGTGACTGTTGGAATATGCCCCACTCTGTTATGTTAATAATAGAGGTGAAGCAATAAAGGAAGAAAGCAAACTACATACTGCTGACCTCTGTGTCCTTGGGAGCCTTCTCCCCTTTGCAGTATCAGAGTGATACATACCCTCTCCACAAATGAAATAATCCTCCTTAATTAGGGTTTTGAAAACAGCGTTCTCCTCTCTGTCCTAATGGCTGTTGCCATTTGGATCGGAAGAAGTGAAAGACAGACTGATCTCAGACAGCTGCCTGGCCGATGCTCTGCTTCCCAACCATCTGCTCCCCACGTCAGCTCTGACAAGGCGCTGTCAGGGCTTCAGCTCGTTGTCCTCCTGCATCCCTCAGTGAAGGTCCCCACGCCGCGGGCGCTGAAGGTTTCTGAGCTCTCTGAGAACAGCCTCCGGCTGCACTGGGAAGCTGTCGCTGCCTCTGATGTGGTTGTCTATCAGATCAAGTGGAGCACAGCTGGTGGAGAGAAGCCTCAGGAGGTACGGACCCACGTACAGCCGGGTTGGGTTTGTGTCTGCTGGATGGATACTGGTTGGGTATTAGGAAAAATTTATTCTCAAAAAGAATGATCAGACCTTGGAATGGGCTGCTCAGGGGAGGTGGTGCAGTCACTGTCCCTGGAGGTGTTCAGGAAGAGGGAAGATGTGGCACTGACGTGGTTTAGTTGGCATGGTGGCAATGGGCTGTTGGTCCTACTTAATGATCTTAGCGGTCTTTCCAACCTTAATGATTCTATGGCGGCTCTGTGCTAACCTGCAAGAGTGGCAGAGTTGCAGTTCAGCTTGGGTTCATGCACTCAGGACCTTCAGCACTAAGACGGGATCTATCCCACACTGTCTCTGCTGAGTGCTGTAGTCACCTTGAATGCTGAAAGCAGGAGGGACAGCAGGATAGCAGGTTTGGAGTCCTGCAGGCTCTGGGAAGATTGCAGAAGTGCTCTGGAAAAACTCAAGGATGAAATTCAATAGGGACAAACAAAGTATTAAGCTTAGGTAGGAATAATTAAAGACAGGTATACAGGATGTAGAACAAACAGCTAAGAAGCGATTCAGTAGAAAAAGATCTGGGGTTGCAGAGAATCACTGGCCCACAATGTCAAGTAGTCGTGGAAAAGATAAGCACAGTAGTCAGGTATTTGTAGTGGTGGTAAGTCCTGACTGCTGTGGGGACAGTACTCCTCAGGAAGGATGAGGTCTTAAGAACCAGAGAAGATTGATCACAATCAGAGCTGATGCAGTAGAAGTAGGGATGGACCAGGTGACCTCTTCGATCCCAAGCCCCTGTTTTCACAGTGAATACCCCCACTGCCCTTCACATTTAGGCTGGAATAGGGATATATTGGAGGTTCTATGCACCATATATCTAAAAGATGGGAACTGAGCAGAGATATTTCATGCTCATAGCAGGCAGACCGCCTTGTACCAGAGACTCTATGTTGTGGGACAGAAGTAGCTGTTAAGTACAACTGGCTAGCAATGGGCATCCACTCTGCATTCATTAGGGCTGGAAATTTGCCTTTGCTTGGATTTGTGCAACCCACAAGAGTCACAGCCCTGTGCTAACTCATTTGTGCCTGCAGGCAGTCTGTGAGCCAGACACTGGGATGGCATGAACTAGCTTAGGGAAGCCTGGGAATTCAACTGACTCATTTCTTGCCCTGCTTCAGCTCTCCATCGCTGGAAATGTGGCAACTGCTATCCTGCCTGGATTGCAGAAGAACACAGACTACAAAATATCCATCTGGGCCTACTACAAAGATGGTGCTCGAAGTGACACGGTTTCCATTCAGCACAGAACCAGTAAGTGATCAGCTCTCTGTCTCTACAGCCTAGTGAAAACAAAGAGGGTGCAGGATGCCTCAGACCCAGGCACAAGGCAGGAGCTCAGATCTGGTCATCTGCAGCTATGAAAACCCAGACCTGGATATCTAAATGTGGCTGGAGATATTTAGGCTCCCATACTAATATTCTGAATTTCTCCTGATGAAAATATACTGGGCAAGTATGAACTGGGTGGTACATTTCTTTCTCCTTTTGTAGCATGTATCGATGTGAGTGCATGGGCTTTTTGTTGGGTGTTGAGCTGAATATGTCACTGTGCTGCCTAATGAATATTTCCTGTTAGTAAAATATTGTCTGCTAAGGAAGGTGTGGGTTTCTCCAGCTACATCATTGCTGAGCTGTGCTTCATCTGAGGGCACTTGCAAAAATAACAGAGAATCCTTCAGGCAGACTCTGCGTGGAGGCATTATCTAAATCTTGCTTTGTCCAGGCAGGATATGAGGTTAAAAAGCGGTACTCCCAGAGGTCCTCTTAATTAATATTGCCTGTATAATGGCTTTGTTGGCAGCAAATGGAATACAATTCATTCAGTAGTGGCAATCCTCTCTTCCTTCTCTCAGCTCTCAACCTCCTTTGCAGAATGAAGTCTTTCAGGCTGGTGCTGAGCTGATGAAGCTCAGAGTAAATGGCAATCCTGGAATGAGAAGCTCAGGTTTTATTAATAATGAATAATAACAACTTTTGTTTATAGAAAGCTACCTCAGGCAAGTACCTAGGAGATGCATGCCAACAAGAACAAATAAAAAATGAAAGCATCCTACAGCTCTGTGAGAAAAATGAGAGCTGTTTAGAGGTTTCAGAAAAACGAATTGCTGTTTTAAAGCTTGAAGTACAAAATGTCAAAGCTGCTTCTTCAACCCACTGCCAATGGCATGTGATGGTGTTCTTCTCAGCTTATTCAAGCAAACCAATCCTTGCTGGCATTGGTTTCTGCTTGTCAGCTGCTGTTCTTGTTCAGGAACAGGGATGCATTAGGGACATCAGCCTTCACATCACTGGGATGCATGGGCATCCGTCCTCAGGGCTGTGTAACACAGGAGGGCTGGTAATGCTCTTCCATGGACCCAGTCCCTCACTACCATTGCAATGAATGGAGCACTTCTTCTCAAGTCTTAGTCTCGACTAGAAAAAATAAGATGTTTAGGGATATTTTTTTGAGCAGAACAGTTAAGCAAGTCCTTCTCTGCAGACTTACCAGAAGGCACAGTAGGAGCAACAGCACGTTGGTGTATTTCCCACAGATAACTAATTTGTTACCATGTACTTACCTGCAGTTCTGATATACCTTCTTGTCTCTGATATATTTAGATTCAAGGCTTATTTGTGTCAAGAACTCTCCTCTCATTATGTTCCTATAAATGATCTAGCATAACAAAGTCTTTGTCCTTGACTAAAGGCTCTATGCAGCGCTCATCTGTCATATTAATAAACAAGACTTGTGGTACTTCTGATGGACACAAACCTTGCACCCAACTAGTGGGAGTGTGCAGGATGCTCTCTGGGAGAGGAAGCTGCTGAGAAGTAGCCCTTGGCTGCTGAGCAGGAGTCCTTGGGAGACACTGGAAGTGGTTGCTTTTGTTTTTGCTGAGAAGCTGGTAGGGACCTCTCTGTTATAGAGAAGAAAAAGAGCTTAAACAAAATAGGTCACTTGTTTTGTCCTGGAGGATAAAGGGGGGGGATCCTCTGTCTGTGGTATCTGCTATGTAGCATTCATTATTTAGCAGAATCTTTCTGCCCCTGTGTGAGTGCACCTCATCCTCTGCAGCACAAAGAGCAAGAGGGCAGTTTGGTGGGAGTGCTGCTAACGCTGGGCTGAGCCTCCTGGGCTGATTCTGTGCTGAAGTGGATTACAGAGCGCTTACGTGTCCCATTCCTCCAGCAGAGCTGTGCCAGAAGTGTCTGCACATTCTTCCTCCTGCTCCTCTGTGAGCTCACACTGCAAACAAAAGGGGTTGAAATTTAGGGAAGAAACTTCAACCCGTGGTACCAAGGGAACAACTATAACTTGTACAGTCACTGCAGATGGGTGTTGTGATGGAGCAGACTCCAGAGCTGTACTTTTACTTGGAATTTAGTCTGTGATTCTGGCTAGACCTGAAAACAAGTAGCCCAGGATTCCCCCTGCAGAGGAACAGGAAGTAACAGAAGCGCAGATGGTGCCCTAGGTGTCAAAGATGCTTCCACCCCACATGGGCAGCTCCGGGAGGTGACCTTTCCCCTGGCTGTCACATCCATGCTGTCAGACTGTGCCCAGCCCGGGGGGCTTTCCAGAACAAACTCAATTTGGAAGACTTCACTTAACTTTCCTTTTGTTCATTTAAACAGTCACCGCTTACATCAGCTGAATGAAATAGCCAGTGCAGACAGCAAAGATGCAGATGTATGGCACAGCACTAAGAATAGCAATGTTGAAATGACTTTTCCTCCCACACTTGTTTTCTTCTCTTCTTTACCTTGTGGTGATGCACAGCAACAGCCTCCAGCCTGATTCAGCTCTGCAAAAACTTGGTTCAGCTTCAGTAAAAGTAGGCTCGTTTTGTCCAGAAAAGGGAAGGAGGATCAATGAAGATGCAAATAATCTTCATTCAACATGTGCTCTAAGGTCACCTCAGTCTTTGCTGGGTGGGCAGAAGAGCTTGTTTGCACTGCAGGTAAAACTGCAGAATAGAAACTTCATAGCCTGGTTGTGTGTCCTTGGCTGTCCTTCGGACTTGCCCATCATTTGTAGTGTCTTCTGAAGAAGAAGAAGAAAAAAAGCCTACTTTTCACTCTCAAAACCTCTTTGTCTTCACACCAGTGAAGATTCAAGGCCAGATATTTATACAGAGCAAGAAACTACTTAGAAATAAGCTCTTGGAGTGGTGACCCCATACTCCCGTATGTGACTCCCATAACTCTCCATCACAATACCCACCTGCAGTGATTATAGAGGTCATATTTTTTTCCATCATTGCCATGGGCTGAACTTTCTTCCCTAATTTTCAACCTGTTTTGTTTGAAAGCGGATGGATTCAGCTCCCTCTGCCTTTCTCTTAATAATCCTCAGCCCCTGCTCAGAGAAGTTGCTCTGTAACTATCTCTGTTGCCAGGTCCAGCTTGCTACACAGTGGTATTCCAGGGAAGAAATGCATTTATGTAATTAAGATACACTCTGTTTTGGTCTCTGACAAACCCTGTTCTTGCTGACCACAGCTCAGGCTGTCACCCATTTGGGATCCATCCATCCACTGTGGTGCAGGGCCAGGAACAGGGGAGCAGCTCAGGCTTTGTGCATGATCTTTTCCTGGGGCTGTGGGTGCTGAGTGAGAAGTGTTAGACAAACTGCTGTGTGCTGGCTGCTCTGTGTGATTTTTTTCTTTAAAGGATAATTTTAAAGCAAAGGCCAAGCTGAGAAATAGTAGAAATGATGATGCATTAGCTTTGATCCAGGCTTAACCAGCAATCAAGCCTTTTCTCCAGCGTGTCTTCAGGTCTTTGATGAAATACAAGAACAATTTGGTCTTTCTGAAGGGTATCTTGTGTTTGTCCATGATGCATCCAAAGGATCGTTTTTTTCCTCATGCCTCCAGGACTCTCCACCAAATATTCTTTTTTTCCCCCAGGACCTAGGCTTTGAATTACTGAATGCTTGAGCTGTACCATGTTGTCTCAGGCAGTACTCATCCTCATTCCTCCAGACTCTATTTTCTCCCCTGCCTGGTCCCTAAGGTGGCTGCTTCTGCTCCAGGCCCTGTTTACAGCACATTAACAAAGCACTGGGGAAAGGACATGGAAGCAAGCGCTGCTGGCCCTGATTTCAGACTTCACTATCTGACTTTAATGCTATTCCCATTTAATCCCTGCACAGCTTCTCGGAGCCCACCCACCAACCTCTTCATAGACTCTGAGAGCCCCACCAGCCTCCAGATCCATTGGAAGCCCCCCGAGGGCCGCATACAGCACTACAGAATCACCTACAGTCCTGTTTCTGACCCCAGCACCCAGCAAACAGTAAGTTCAGCTCTTTGGCAGGTGGGACAGAGGGACTGTTTCATGGCTAACAGCGTGCTGTTCACTCCAATAGGTTTTCTCTATAAAGAATTAGTTTGCATGAGAACAAAACCAAATTTCTTCCTTTGACTTGCTATCAGTGTGCTGTGAAGACTTCCTTCTGATTCAGGCTTCCTTCTGATTCATTTATCGGTGTCCATCAAAGCTGCAAATAACACAGCTTTCTCCTCTCCCTGAAATAGAGTGGGGAATTCCAAGAGGCAGAGTGGTAGAGGGTAACTCTACTGCCCACCTGATTTGACAGGTTAACAATTAACCTTTTACATTGAACATTTGCCACAGCAACCCAGACTGGTGACCACATTTTAAGGATCTTTTCACCCATCTACAAGGGGTACATTAAGGTCTTTACTTAAGAAAACACTCCTTCCCTGAACACAATAGTTCTGTTGGCAGTGCGTAGTCAGGCTTCCACAGTTTCCTTTTATCATTCCCTAACCAGTGGGGATGCTGCCCTGGAACTCACTGCTAGAAATCCTCAGAGCAGCCCCAGGGTGTGGATAAAAGCCAACCTCTGGGTTGTTTTCTATTTTCCATCCTGCTGTAGATCATGGCTTCTGGGAAAAGCAGCAGTGTGACCTTGCAGCCGCTGCTGCCCGATCGAGCCTACAAGGTGGCAGTTTCTGCTGTCCACTACACAGGAGAGAGCGAGAGCACAACTGCAACGGGTCGGACGGGTGAGTGCATCCATCAGTACATGCAGCTTCATCAGCTATCATCTATCAGGCTTGGTGTAACCTCTCCAGGGAAAGCACTGCCCTTCTTGCGCTGAGCTGTGGCTGTGGCCAAGGTTTTGCTCAGCAAATTGCAAAAAGCCTGGAAAAGGGAAAATCCTGCCCCAGTTTCTGCCCGTCCCATGTATAATTCCAGGATGAATGAGAAGGGTTGGTGACCATACGAGTCTTGAGCCAAGTGTCACTGTTCTGAGCAGCAGAGCTCACGCACACGCTGCTTTCTCTTGCAGCTCCTGTGATGTCTAAACTGCCTTCAATACGAGGATTTGTTCCATCTAAGACAGAAGGTAAATCATCTCCTATAATGTCTGGCATTAGTATTTTATTTTTCCCCAGTAACAAATAGCACAGTGTGGATCCCTGATCACAGGCAGCAGTGGGTATGTCTCTTCTTGACAGATGCCTCTGGGTCCTGAGAATCTGTCCAAGGAGAGCCTGGAACCACGTAGCCTTAAAAGCAGACTCACTCAGTAGAGAGTCTGGTAGGATATTTAAAGGGTTTCTGCATATCTTGACCAAAATGGAGCAAAGAGAACGATGACATGTTTTAAATTAAAGTTCCTTGTAAAGTCCCTTATTAAATTTAATGAGCATATGTTCTCCTAGCTGGTACAAAGCAAAATATTAAGTGGATTAAGGAGAAATGTTGAATTAGCAGGGTTATAAGAAGCTGCTAAGAAGCAAATATTAGAATACATGTATTGTGGCATTAATGCCTTTTCCTGTCTATGTGAAATGATTCCAAACAAAACCTCAGCTTTAAAGTTTGTTGAGAGAAGCCAAGAAGGGAGAACAAAGCAGATTAGATGAGTATGTTTTAGAATGTACCCGGCAAAGAAAATATCAGACACAATTTTCTATGGCTTATTGAGGAAATGTGCAGGTGTGCAGATCACAGAGGAACAGTCCTGTGAACCTTCAGCTGGAAAACAATCCCCCCATAAGGCTGATGGAAAATGTAGCGTGTATGGCTATAATAGCTGAAAAGATAACAGGAGAAATATTAAATTCTATGTGTTTCATAAAATGAATTATTTGAAGGAGTGGAGATGATATGTAATAATGTTGGGAAAACTGTTGCAGTAAAAAAATCTGATTTTAATAAGCAGTCACGTTGCTGAGGGAAGTGGTCTGAGCTGTTGTGGGAGGGGATGTTGTACAGTAACTGCTTTCCTCTGGGACCTGGGGAGAGAAGCACAAAGCAAAGAGAACAACAAGACGGCAGGAATCCTATGCTGGGAGGCCTGGGAAAAATCTTCAAAGCAAAATGCAGGCTGTCACTGACAGGGATCCTTCACCCTGACTCTGAGATGCTCTGTGTAAGCTGAGCATTGCCAGATCAAAGAGCTGTGAGCAGTGAGAGTGCTGGGAGGGAGGTTAGAAGGGGTCTTCCTGACCCCCCAGCAAGGAAGCTGGATACCTGGCAAACAGGCAGGACTGCAGCCTGTCAGTGTGATGTTGGAGGGAATTATGTTTTCTTCATCATACTTCGTTTCTCAGCAATGCTTTGCGTTTGAAAATCTGTTCTGTTTGTGTAAGGGGAAGGCAAGGAGCAGAGGTATGGCTTGTAGATGTAGACTGCTTGTAGGCTTTAGCAGTCATATGACCATCGTTGCTTTGGGTGCCTTTTCTTTTTGCATATGACTTGACTATGAATAATTGTGTTGAATGACTTAGGAAGCTCAGCTGCCATGTGGAGGATGACACCCCTCTGTTGTTAGAGAAGTCAAACAGTTGTAAGCCCTGCATTTCTCCTGAGGTGTGAACTGACACTGATGCAAGAATAGAAATATAAAAGTTATAATGAAGCCTCAGTAATGATCTATTGGATTCTATTTTACTGGTGACCTAGAAAATCACTTATGAAATAGCCCATCTTGTCAAGTGTCCTTGATTTTCAGGGACATGTCTCATTTTGCATCAAGCATCTCCTTTGTCCCAGCTCCATCTGGCAGCCATGACCTGGGATTTAAATGGCAGTACATAATTGAAAATAGCATTCATGTGCTGCTTTCTAAAGCACCCCCTTACTTGAGCCAGTTACATGGGAGTGCTCATAACCATGGTGCCTCTCATTGCAGCCCGTTCTCCCCACCACCCCCTGATGCTGCTTTCTGCCTTGTGGCTAAAGGATTCATCAAGTGAGTTTCTGGCAAAGGACCTGCAAAACTTTGCCAAAACACAATTTGTGTTTCTCAAGTGCGAAGAAGAGCAAAAAACTGTCATACAAATGGAGAAATGTAACAGGAATGTTGCAATAAGTCAAAGCCTGGTCATATGCCATACAAAAGCCACATCACTGCTCATGTGCAGCACTGCATCTTTACTCCCTTTCTAGCTATTTTAAAAAAAAAATCAGGTTGATGCCTGAGTTTTTGTTGTCTTTTGAGTTTTATGTGCAATATTTAGAATGAAGATATGCTTATTTATTTTTCAGGCTACTAAGGTGCATGTTTCAGTAAAAGCACCATTTAAAAAAACAGTGTTTTTTATGACTGCTTCCAAAAAGAAGCTTGAAGAAAATGATGTTCCCTTGTGTTTCATATCACCAGGTGACAGATGATTCAGTGAAAAGAAAGTGATCATGAGGATGTTTGATGATGAAAGACGGTATTTTATTTTTTTGTGATGAATAAGACAAGGAAGAACTTTTATGTTAGCATAAACATAAATTCTCTCCCTCTCTCCGTTTATCTGAACAAGGTTCAGGCCAGACTGTGACTTAAGCTGTATAATATTACAATACTCACTGTGTTTTGCTGTGTTTTCCATTGCTCAGCCCATAGGAACTGCATCAATTTTGCTTTACTAATCCCCTACTCCCTTTCTTCCCTCATTTTTTCCCCTTCTGTTCCATTCCCACAGCCTGTCCCCCCATCAGCTCTTCTGCAGGCTCCGTACGAGGTACAGTATCATACCTAAACCTTTGCTGGGAATGTGCAAACAGTGTCTCATCTTGGCTTTTTTTCGAGAAATATACAACAGCTGAGCAAGGTGGAATTCTTTCCCTGCCCTGAGGGGAAGGGGAAAAGTCTGAGAATGAAATAGGGAAACAGTCTATATCAGGTAAGACCTGAGACCCTTCAAACACTGACACTGAAGACCACTTTTCAAGCTGAGGGAGAAGAGAGAGAGCTATGGCCCCAACTTGGAATGGCTGGAGTGTATTCATACAGTATGGACAACAGGGGTTCAAGGGTTGCTGAGCCATAGGCTTGACCCTTGTCCTCGCCTGCACCCAGAGCAGTTGCTCTTCTCATCAGAGTTTGGGCTGTTATTGCGTGAGTCTGTCTGTGCTGCTTGAGCAATCTGCCTTTATGTGAATAATTGTCCACTAGGTGCAAGGCAGAGGATGAATGTGTTGCTTAGGGCACTTACTTGAGGCATGGGACAGCCTGCTTGCTTCCTTGCTCCAGTGAATATACAAAGAAAAATGCGTGCAGTGGGATGGGACCAAATGGGGCAGACAGGAAAAGGTGCACTGGGAGACTGAGCTGTAATGGTTTGCATCTGACACACAGGTTACTGAAGAGAATAATGCTGTTAGGTTACAATATGGTTATAATTGTGAATTGAGCTTTGTTGTCAGTCTTTACACCATTGTGTTTCATGCATGCTATAATGGAATCCTAGTGCCAGGAGCCCCATGTTGCAGATAAATGGCTCAAAAGTGGGTCATTTCTTTTGGAAAACTCCCTAGTATGTTGGGCAATGAAAACAACTGTTCTCTGGACAAACCTCTATGCAAAATAACCATTCAAGCCAAACAACTGCAGATTACAGTAAATGGTGAAGGGATGAGGGAATCCAAACTGATAGGACTACATCATAGTGAAGTTGTATCCCTTCATTTACTGAAGCATGAGCTATCTCCTTCAACCCGGGCTGCTGCAAACTGAGATAAAGTGGAAAAAGAAAAGAACCCAATTTCAAGATCTTGTCTTACCAAATAGAAAACTGAAATGAGAAAATGACTCAGAGCTTTAATGATGAGCCATGAAAGTGAGATGAAGTTGCATGAGCTGAACAGGCGATGTCAGAGATGTCAGGGAAGAGCCTCTCTTTGTAGATCGCATAAGCCGAGCCAACCTCTGAGTGCCTCATGGAAATAGAGAGGAATGGAAATGCTTGTATTTTAAAGTCCTTCCCCAGTATTTCTGACTCTTACATATAAGGCATTTCAGAGCAGAAATGATTCCTCCTGCCAGCAATCACTGGACAGATTCCATGTCTTTTAAAGATAATATTTTTGCATCTCCTTGAAATGAACGTGATTTTGGGATGGTTTTTGTTTGTTTGTTTGTTTGTTTGTTTGTTGGGTGGTTTTTTTTTTTTTTTTTTTTTTTTTTTGAGTAATTACAGAATCACAAAATTTCTCACTCGTTTTTCATTCTGGAGATTTGAAAACAAAGTTATGGAAGTCTTCAGCTTTACTATATCTCTCCAAGAGGCGATTGCAGCAGTGGATGATCCAGATGCAAACTATTGCCTTTAGCTGCTGCTTGTGGAATATAATCCAGTTTTATACAGAGTCTGTGCAGCTTTGCTGATATCTATGTTCCTATGTTTTTTTCTCCTGCTGAGGTCTCCATGCTACCTAGAAGCTCATCCTATCTGCTCTGCCATCCCACTTTTTGGGGGGCAGTCTTTCCTAACCACTTCTTTCTCTGCTTTTCTTTGTTCCAGGATTCGATATGATGGAAGCGTTTGGCTTAGTAGAGAAGGAATATGCCTCCATTAAAGGAGTGGCTATGGAGCCATTCGTATTTAGTGGCTCCCGCACCTTCACCCTGTTCAGAGACATTCAGCTCACCCTGAGGACCAGGTGGGAGTGGAGCTGGGACCAGCGTTGTGCTCATCATGGTCCCTGTGCTCACACTGCTGTGTGTCAATGACAAATCCCCTCTGGCAACTTCAAAATGAAATTGTAAAGAGTCAGCTAAACTGAATTGCAGGTAGACTGAGAATAATGCCAGTTTTCCTTAATATATTCAGAAATTAGGCTTGGGTTGGCTTTAAGATGAGTATGGCATACATCTCAGAAGTCAAAAGGACACAATGGGGGCATTCGTTATTCATTTGTGTGCTGCCAAATGTTTTCACGTGGTGAGGGTTTTCCATTTTGCAGAATCCCTTTTTGCAGCAGTGTTGGTTGCTGAGATGGATGTAAGGATTATATCATGTGCAGACTCTGCATGATTCTCTAGGCATTCTGTCCACAGCCGCATACACTTTGGCCATAGCAGTTTGAGGTCATGTCTTCATCTTCAACCCTCCTCCCAGCATCACTAGTTTGGAAACAGAGCTTTGCTTTAGTAAATACTGGTCTCCTAGCTGCTCTCAGCAGCTTGGGCTTTTCTTGTTGAGAAGGAATAACCTCTGAGGACTGTGGCCTGACCCCATTTTCTCTGTGGGTCTCAGGCAGCCAGGCTGCTCCCATGACCTCACTCATTTTTTATGATAACAAATCAGGAACGATCCGACTCCTGACATTCAGTGCTACTTTGTTTAAAGCCTAATTACTGAGGCTCTGGCTCAGTTTAATCTTAGTTAAAGTAGTAAAGCTTCTTAGAGTGCACAGAGTGATTCAGAAAGTGGTCAAATACTCCAAAAATTGTGGGCAAGTCATTTCGCTCAGCTGGCACATATTCCTTTCCAAGGACGTCACTCCACCACAAGCAGAAGGAGAAATAAGAAGCCAATATTACTTATGAATCAGTCCTGAAATGATGCTTGATGAACTGTGTACACGCCCATGCAAATGTCTCATTTCACATTACAGATGTATTCCAGGCATAACCAATTTCACTTTCCTTGTTGCCTTACTGCATCCTCCCACTGTGCTCCCAGCACGCTCTGAGGGGTTTCGCAGTGGCTGCAGAGGAAGCTGTGCTGTGCCAGGAGCTGCTGATGGGCTTTGCTGCATGCCCACAAGCTCTAGAGCTGAACTCAAATTTTGCAGCTGGGCTGTGGGGGTTTTCTGGGAGCTCCATGCTTATCTCTGAAGGGCAATTCTAATGATTTCTGCCAAGATTTACCGCAGGGTACACAACCACCATTCCTCTTCCTTTGAAAGAGGTTGCTTGGGAAGAGTTTTGGACTCTGGCAGGATGTCTGATATTTAGTAAGCTCTGTGGTGAAGAGCACGAGGGCTGCCTGCAGTGCTCCCTGGGGCAGCTCTGGCAGTGATGGGCTGACACTGCCTCCTCCACCAGGACGCAGCACTCAGCTCAAGCACAAGCAGCCTGAGAGGGATGCACAACATAAGGCTGGGTTCTCTCATGGCGTATCACATTCAAACCCCATGGGTGAAGCTTTTCTAGGCTCTTCTTCCCAAGAAACACAAGAGAGCCCCTTCTCTTGAATGTTATCTTCTGGCATTTGCTGCTCTAAGTCACCAATGCTTCCTTGGCTTGTCTCATTCCAGCGATGTCCACCTCTTTGCCATCCCACCCGAGCACACCATCAGCATCCTCCTGCGCCTCCTTCCCGACACCCCCAAGGAGCCCTTTGCTGTGTGGCAAATAACCGACGAGGACTTCCAGCCCCTCCTTGGTGTTAACCTTGACCGTAAGGTTTCATGTTGAATGTGTTACATTCAGGTATCTGCTAACATTTCTGCAGGCAGCAGACCTCATTTTGGGATTCACTTGGGAAGTGTGGTGGGTTTATGAGCTTTGTTGTGCAGCTGCAGTTCTTGGCTGACATCACATTTTAAAGGCTTCCTAATGCAATTAAAAGCTGCATTTTCATTGTTATTCTACTTGTAGCATACTCTTTATTTTTAGCTGTTATTTTTGTTTTCCATTGTTTAGAAACATTTGGTTGCGATACATGAGGTTTTCTCACAATGCTGAAGCCTATATATTTTCTGTTGCTCAGTATGTGGTGAAATCAAACTCTCTTTGAATTCTAAAAGCTGTTATTTGTCCTGTTTTCCCTGTAGCCAGTAAGAAAACCTTGACCTATTTCAATCATGACTACAAGGCTGATTTGCAGGAAGTCTCCTTTGACCAGCAGGAAGTGAAGAAGATATTCTATGGGAGTTTTCATAAGGTCTTTATCAATAAAGGGAGAAATGTAGCTCACGATTCCATCCACTCTGAGACTATTATGCCATCAATGTGTATTGTTCAAAGCAAGGACTGATTATAAGTGCTTTGCATCCAGATTGCTAGGGAGCCAGTGAACCTTTTTCATATGCTGAACATTTTAATTGTAGACTTGACAATTATATAGGTTCATCCGTTGTGTAAGACACGTTTCCCACTTATTGATTGCTTCTTAGAATGCACTGCATGTTTATGCATTTTTAAAGTACTAATGAGGATGGGTAAATTATGGTCACACATGGTGGCCATTATTTTTACATATAATATGTGGTAGCAACATGAAATGGCATCAAAATAAAATACAGTGTATACTAAATCGCTCCCCTTTACAAGGTGTGTGTTTGCCATTTCAGTAGTTGTATTGCATGTTCAGATATTTGCTTTACTGAAGATACAGCTTCCCTGCACAAACAGAGTAATTTACTGGATGGGAGCACTTCATGGACAGCACACTCCTCCAAATCCTTCCCCTTTTTTATTTCCATCCCCAGCCAGTTTATTTATGGGCATGTGCCCTTGTTCCTTCCATGACACACAGTTGTAGAGAAAAGCTCAGACTTGTTATCTGCAGAGCCACTACCTGGGAACGTAATTCAAGGCACCCAAAGCCCTCAAAACTGAACTAAACCTGTGTAATGTAATTGTTTTGTGTTAAATTTGCGAGAGAAAAATATTCTTTCCCCCCCATACATCATTACCATTACCATTACCATTGCTTCACTCATAGTATAGAAATGCTGAGATTGGAGAACTGCACTAGAAAGTGGTAGGAAGAAAGCCTTCAAACCCTTCAACCCTTGGAGTCTCTTCTTTACTGGGAAAAAGGAAAAAAAAGGGTTGTTTTTTATTACAGTATAATTTGGATTGGCTTCCTACAAAGCAAGATGGAAACTGTTAGGGAGTTGTTAACAGGAATGGACTGAGACAGAGAGTTATAGGAGAGATCTGGCAGTTTCCTTCCTTTTCCCCGTGGGGGCTCTTATTTTCAGGACTTGAAAAAACCAAAAATTTTGGAACATGAAATATTTTTTATAATTTGGGATTTTGGTGACATTTTAATGCTGGAGGGAAGGAAAAGATAAAGTCTCATGAGAAATCCATCTGATCTCTTATAACTTTTTTGGATTTTTTTTGTCTGTATCCTCAGAGCAAAGGTATTCCACCCAGATGAGCAATGAGCTCTTTCTATCAGTATTTACATTATTCAGCTGGTTCTGAGAACTGAATTACTCAGAACTGGGACTCCGGAAGGGTTTTGCCCAAGGAGAAGGGAACCACGAGGGAAGAGCAGAGTGCTGCTCACTCTGTGCATTTGCTCACAAAATCCACATCTTGGATAACAGCACCAATCTGGGAACTGGGCAGAAGGTGTTTAAAAGCTCCCTGCCCCATTGCAAAAGTCCAACCTTGGTCTTCCCACCCAGGTGCACCTTGCAGTGAGCCTTTTCAAGATCAAGCTCTATCTGGACTGTAAGAAAATAGCAGAGAGACCCATCAACACCATTGGCAGCATCTCTACTGCTGGCTTCGTCATGCTGGGAAAAGTGACACGAACCAGAGGGCCCAGGAGTGGATCAGTATCGGTGAGTGCCCAGACGTGCCTGCTTTGGAAATTGGGGGGTTAAATGTGAAGTTAGTTGGGCAGATGGAGGGTTGTGCCATCTTCACTGTTCTCTCTCTGACAGCATTCAACAGCAGCTGTGGCACAGGGCTGTCTGCTGATCCCACTGATCTCTGCGGGTTAATGAGCTTTCCTGGCGTGGGGATTCTCCTCCTTGCCTCCTACCTGGGTTTGAGATTTGGGCTCAGGGTTCATTACTGAATGCTTGAAGCACAGGCTCTGCCCTAACAGGCAGCAGGTATAGGGAACTGCTTTGGAAGAGAAAGTTGTGCCATCGGCCCCCATTGAGTGTCACTGGGAAGTGTCAGGTCTGGAGGTGCCTCAATCTCCTGTGTGCTTGGGCTTGGCAAATGGTGGCCAAATACTTTTCAGTGCAGAGGCTCCTTGTCAGCTGCTGTGTAAATTAAAGCAGCCTAATGCTCATTGCCAGCCTGCCTGTATGTCCCTGCACAGCACCCTGCGAGAGGACAGAGCAAGGGAAGTATGGGCTCCGCACTGTGCCTTGCAACAGCCCCATGCATCACCCAAAACCACCCCTGCATGGCATTGCTCAGGAGCCTGCTGCCCTGCCATGTTTCCTCCACAAAACAGGAATGTTAAATATGTGCAGAATGAGGAGGAATTGCTCAGTGAGACTGCAGGAAATCATTCATGACTGTGAAGCTTGTACTCCTGGGTTCTGCTTTTAGGTCTAAAGATCTAGGGGGAAACAGCCCAACCACTGATTTGCAGCTTCCCTTGCCTCAAAGAAGTGCAGTAAGAACATTTTGTCCTATCCCCAGGTGCCTGGTCCTGCAGAGAGCAATGTAAAGCTCTGGGGTGCACCAGAGAAAAGTGGGCATTGGAACCACAGTGAGCAGTGGTGACATATGACAAACCAGGGCACAATAGGATTCAAGCTGTATTTTCTAAATAAGTGCTGTGGCAGTTTAGATGGATCACAAGCCTGTCAGAAAAGAGCCTGAGCTCTCCCTCTCCCTCCCAAACTCTCCTTGCTCACAGCTCAGCCAGACAGATGCAGCTGACTAATGAGCAGCTTCGTGCTGCCTCTGCTCCTATTGCTTTTCAAGCCCAGCATAAGGTTTATGTCATCCACAGCTTCTGCTGCCCTTGAGAAGATGGAGAGTCTCATTATTGCTTATCATGGAACCTCGTTTAATTTGAGATATCTTTAAATGCTGCTTGATCAAGGGGGCTCACCTGTATCTGTGATGCGCTCCTCAGCTGTACAGCTTAAATGCACGGAGCAGAATTAAAAACAGAGGAGAAATGTTGCTAAGGAAAGCAAAAAAAAAAAAAATCTTCACTGCCTCGCCTTCTGTTTTTGGTTTGCTTTGTGCAGTGTGTGCTCCTGTGTTCATCACAGAGGCGGCGGCTGGGAGGGATGTGGGGTAGGCAGGAGGGGTTCCTGGGATGGAACACAGCTCTCCTGGGAGCCTACTGCCACTTTTCCTCTTAGATACATCCCTCTGAAGGGGGAAATGCAGACAGCAAAGTTTGTTTTCACATTTTGGCAGTGCTGAAGCCCAATTACCTGAGGACCTGCCTGCTGCTGTGGGATGGTGTGAAAAATCAGAGAGGCAGCTTTTGCAGGGGTGGCTTTGCAGGTCACAGAGCTGTGGCTGCTATGTGTGTCATGGCTTTTTTGGTGTAATTACAGTTGGGACCACACGTGGAGTCTGTCAAACCACCACTAAACATTATTTTTAGCACATGATGAACTTTGGTGGTGCCACCTTCTCATCAAACCCTCTTCCCCACAGTTCCAGCTGCAGTCGTTGCAGGTTGTGTGCAACAGCTTAGGGGCAGAGGAGGACAGATGCTGTGATCTTCCTGCATTGGTAAGATGATGTGAGGTTCTTTGCTGGGTGGGATGAAGCTGTGCACGATTGCACAGGAGTGACACCGCACATCTTTTTCATAGACAAGAAGGAAATCACTCTTCTTCTCATTTCTTGGGAATGTCAACTGGGTGTATCTTGGTGAAGGGAACCAAAGAGCATGTCTTGTCCCACTGTGTCTGTTTCAAAAGGCAAAATCTCAACACAGTGCATATCCCTCCTGCCCTGAGCTCACCTGAGCCCCCCTGGCAGCCCCATGGCTCCGCTGCCACCTCCCAGCCCCAAGGCACAGTGTCTGTTTTTTTTTTCCCCAAGACTGAATTCTGAAGCCCTGCCATCACTACCTGTCACCGATTCCACTCTCGCTGCTCACATATCTTGCTTTCTTTTCAGAGGGACGAGGAGAGCTGCCCCACCATAGCTCCTGCCTGCTCCTGCACATCTGGCCGCCCAGGCTTGCCAGGTCCCCCAGGTCCCCCTGTAAGTTCACCTTCGTGCATATTGCATATCTTATTTCATGCTGTTTGCACACCTCAGCTCCATGGGGCTCTGTCATCTATCTCCTGCCTTCATCCCAGGCTAAAGCAGTTCCTCCTTGCCCGGCACAGACCCCAGGGCTTTATTTCTCTATGCATGTTGTGGCATTTTGGGAGTGCAACAGCTGCAGCTGGGAGCAGGCTGAGCGTGTCTGAGTGCTGCATTAATCCTCTTAGGAGGGGAGGACAGGCCACCTCGGTGTGTGTGTGTGCATGCAGAGATTTCATGGATCAGTGGCTCCGAAACTCTTTGTAAATAACAGAAAAAAAAAAACCCTCAAAACATACAAAATCTGGATTCTCTGTTAAGCAGAAAGGCCAATAAGTGTCTGCACAAGTGGGTGATGTATAAAGAAAGGGGAATTTTGGGGAGGTGGTAACAGCCAGTAAGAGTGTGGAGTGCTCCAGGAAATGTTCCAGGTAGATGCTATGAAGTGGTTATCAAGAAAAACCCCACGTTTTAGAAATGTTGAGAAGAAAGTGTTACGTGCACCCAACAGCCAAATCTGACAGCCTGTCCAGAGCACCCCATCTGGGACACTCCTGGTGCTTTATACCTGGAAATCATAGAATCATAGAATGGTTTGTGTTGGAAGGGACCCTTAAACCCCATCTGGTCCAACCCCCCTGTAGTGAGCAGGGACGTCACAGCTCCATCAGTGCTCAGAGCCCCTCTAGCCTGACCTTGGGTGGCTCCATCACTGGAGTATCCACCACCTGTCTGGGCAACCTGTGCCAGTGTCTCACTGCCCTCATTGCAAAAACCTTTTTTCCTTATATCCAAGCTAAATTTCCTCTCTTTCATTTTGGAACCATTTCCCCTTGTCCTGTCACACAGACCATGCTCAAGAGCCTGTCCGCTCCTTTCTTTCAGCCCCACTGTAGATACTGAACCATGGAACATTCGGGTCTCGTTGCTCAAGTGAGGAGGCTTCAGCTAACTGCTCACATTGCTGTGGTTTCACTGTGACTTCAATGCTACGATTTGCAAGCTCCTCATTGCAGAGTAATTACGTGCTCATTCCAGTGGAAGTTTAATTACACAGCGCACTCCACTATCGCAGTGTGCTTCAATATCCTAAGTGCATAATTAGCAGCTTGCATTGCCCTGTGGTTTAAACATCTCTCCAGTACTACTATTTAAAAAGCAGGATTCTTTCAAGCATTAGAGAAAATATAGCTCTGACACACAACCGTATCCTCACTCCATCAAACCCTTGCTAATTCGCTGGCCTTACAAGAGCACTCTCTGCTACTTGTTAAAGTCCTTTTACTGGAGGCTGGCAAGGCTGCTGGTCGCTGTCCTTAATGGGTGTTTTTTACCAGATTCAAATGAAATGAGCTTCTGGGTGCTTCTGGGAGAACTTTTTCCAAAGCTCCCTGTAATTCTTAATCCAAATCCATTGTTTTTTTTTACCATCAAGAATAGAAACTTTCAGATTAAGTTCACGTGGTATTTTAAGTTCACAAGTTCACACGACATTGGTTTGTGCCAGAAGATTATTTCTCTCTCTGATCCAGCAGTTCTGCAGATGCAGAGCTGAGCTGGGTCTCCTCAGCACTGCTTGCTGGCCCTGATCTCAGAGCTCGTCCCTTCTCTTGGGTATTGCAAACACCAGACTTGTCCCAAAGGACAGCAGGCAGGAGCTCCTCCTTATCTATGTTCATATGTGATCCCTTCCCCACTGGCTGCCCCAGCATGGATTTGCTGGGAAGTTGGAGGGAGGAGGTTGAAGATGTTGAACTTCATCTCTCCTTGCTGGAGGTGATGTGATTTCATGGAGGGGCCATGCTGTCCTTTTCCCTCCCTCTTCCCCCTTTGCTGGATGACTCTATTTTCTCCTTGCCCCTATTTCCTGCTAGTTCTCTGGAGGGGCTCTTCCATTGTGTGTATAGCAAAATGCACCAGTGTCCTTCTGGCACCTATTTGCTCTGTTGTAAGGATTATGTTGTTAATAACAGCAGCTCTGTGTCTTGCTGGCAGGGCAGCCCTGGGAGGAGAGGACCACAAGGTGAGCAGGGGGAGCCAGGCCCCAAGGTGAGTCTTGGTGTTCCTTGGGAAGTGATGCATTGAGGAGGATGGGATCACATTATTAATTAAATGCTCAATTGGACTCTGGAAATTGAGGTGATGGGCTTGATGAAGCTGAATTAATGCAAATTTTGTGGTCAGCAGTGTTCTTGGAAGCAGCCTCGATGGAAAATGGTTTGTCTTTGTGCTGTGCTTGGTGCTGCCTTGTCATTTTCTCCTATTGAAGATGCACCTAAACCTTACACTTAAAAGGCTGCTGAGCTTGCTGGAGATCCCCTGCTGTTCTGGCTTCATCTTGCATCCCATATTCAGCTCATGCTGACCGGGGCCATGCAGTACAGTCCTCGTGAAGGGCAGGTTCTAATTGCTTTCTTTCTTTAATTTCATATCTTTTGCTGTAGGGTGAACCAGGCCCACCTGGAAAAGTGGGACCAGCAGGTCCGAGTGGCCAGCAAGGCTCCCCAGGTTCCCAAGGAATCACAATTCAGGGCCCTGTGGTATGTCATCTCTTCTATTGTCTTTCTTTGTTTCTTGCTCTTTGCAATTGGAACACGTCTCACAAATCAGTATCTCAGCAAAACCCCTAAACCTGGTCTGTGAATTGACATCATCCTCATTAACAGTTAGACAGCTGCACTAGAAAGATGATAATAATTTTTTCATGGTGATGAGTCCTTACAGTCAGTCATTCTGGCAAAGGACTGCTTTTGTCCAGACTGTCCCTTGTGTGCTTCTAATGAAAACAAGCCCAGTGCAGTCTTCAGGCATGTCTCTTCACAGTGATCATCATTACTTGGCTAGGATGTGGAGGCTGCTGCATGCGTGCCTGGGATGACAGAATCCCCATGAACGTGCTGTTGCTGCAAAGCTCCCTGCATAGCATCACAGAGAGAAGCAGCAGTGCGGGATGTGAGCGTGCAGCAGCAGGACTCTCTTTCCTTTAAAAGACGCTGCAGTGTTTGACTGTGTGCTTCTGTTTCAATCCAAGGGGCCACCAGGTATTAAAGGAGAGAAAGGAGACACTGGAAGTCCTGGCATGCAGGTAACAGTAGACACCTTCCTTGTAACTGTATCAAGGATTTGTCCATTTCTCCCAGTAATTAATTAAAGCAAGACTGAAAAGCCATGGTGTTGTCCCTCTTCCCTTCTCATTTCCCTTGCTACAAGATGAAGTAGAACAATGATAAGCAGATGCCAACTTCACCAGCAATTCTGATTTATAGGGTATTCCTGGTGTGCAGGGAGCTCCAGGCAGAGATGGTCTTCAAGGTGCAAAGGTAAAGTGCATCAATCACCCCCCAGTTTTCACACAGTGCTGCCTAAAATCCAATCTGGATCCAAACATCCAGCTCTCCTAATGCACTCAGTGCAAAAGTGAAAGATATTTTCACAAATCTGCAAGAAATGGAAGAAAAAAAAAGCAACTATTGGATCATCTCATGTTTGGCCAAATCTACATGGCTGACCAGGTGCCAACCTTCTTGCCTGCTTGGCAGATATATTTATACCCATTTCTGGCAAGCTCCCATTAAAAACAGCACAGGGAGAAACAAGCTCGCTACTTACTGTGTCTCTTTGAGTCCCTTTGTTAATACTGGACTGGATTTGGTTTTGCAGGGGGTGAGGGGATTGGAAGGCACAGCTGGGCCCCCAGGACCTCCTGGACCAAGGGTGAGTACAGGAATAATGTGGATCTGTTTGAAGTCTCTTCCTCAGAAGGAGATTGGGGTTACTGCTGGCCTGCTATCATCCAGGGGTGTCTGGGCAAATCCTCTTCTTGGGTTATCACAAGGGAATATCCTCTCACACGTTGCAGAAATCTACTTTCTCTGTCACTTTCTCACGGCTTCTTATGAAATAAACAGAAAAGTCTTCAGCTTACCCCTTGGAGGCAACTTCCGCTTTGATCCAGCATGGAGATGCATGTTTTACTACCCTTGCTTTTCTACAGCTAGAATTTTTCAAATATTGTGTGTGTTTGGGGTGTATGGGCTCATCAGAGTGAAGTCAGCTGGAGCCAGAGGATGCAGGCAGATATGAAAGATGTCCCTACACCCTGGTTCCTGTATGTGCTACCTGGGCCATAAGCATTTGCACTCTCTTGTGCCCAGGACATCACAAACAGAACTTTAAGATGTGTTGGTGTCATGCTAAACCAAAAAACATAAAACCATGACAGTTGGTTTACATCTGGTTATTTTAAAGGCATAGCCTTACCAGTTCTGTGTAACCATGGAATTTGGCTTTAGATGATGGATAGGAGACCTGATAGTTGCTGGTTCTCATTGCTGAGTTATATGGAGTTTGGCAGTCCTAAATAGTGTAAAATGGAAACTGCTTACTGCTGCATTTGCCTTAAATCCCATAGCAGCTCTGCCGAGGTATCTATAGTGAGGGCCACATTCAGCTCCTGACTTGGACTTGCTTATCCTGGCAAGACATGGAGCCAGCAGTGAACCTCAGCTTTTTAAACATGAGGAAAGCACTGCAGCCTTTGGACTAGGCTCTGAAAGATGGCTGGTGCTGCCTTAAAGCCTTCTTTCTTTCATTTTCCACTGATCAAAAGAGTTGTTGATCTCCACTGAGCTTAAACATAATAGCTGAAAAAACTACAAAAGGAAGTATTTCTAGTTCTTTTTTGCCTTATTTTTTTCTTCCCTTTATGGCTCCAAAGGGCAGAGAAACTTCTCAAAGGAGAGATAAACAAAGAAGGCACCTTCTACTCTCTAATCTACAGTTCTACTGTAAAAACTCAGCAGCAAAACACAGGTCTTCAAGGGAAAACAAAAAAGCAGTGGCATGGTACTAGCAGGCTGAAGAAAAGGGTTGTGCTCTAGGCTGTGCCTAAATCTGAACGTGTAAGGAAGGATGTAAATCTACATCTAAAAATCACATTGCAGTTTGTTGGCAAAACTCAGCTTTGCTGGCTTGATGGTAGCTGAGACAGTAATAGGAAATGATGTGAAGATGACTCATACGTGATGCACTCTTAACATTGTGCTCATGGCTGAATGAGGTACTGACATAAACCTTAAGGCTGCAGTGCTCTTGCTGGAGTCCTCCAAGCTCAAACTGCTGGCGCCCCTGGAGCTGCAAGGAGATGTCAAACCGAAAAAGAACAACAGTGGGAAGTATCCAGATTTTCATCTGTGTCTTGAAATTGATATCTGCAGGGTTTCCAAGGAGTGACAGGTTTCCGGGGCAGCAGCGGTGAGAAGGGACCTCCAGGTGATGTTGGGCCAACAGTAAGTGACTGAGCATGGGTCTCAGAGAAGGCCAAGGCATGAAATCATTGCATGTAAGCAAGTTGCTCCCTTGGTAATTCTTCCTCAGCATCTGAAGGAAAGTTTAAATTCATGCTCGCCCTTCATATGGATGTGCAAATCCTGAGCTTGTATCTATGGAATATCTGCATCCTTGTTGATGGTGTTCCAGCTCCTTAAGCACAAACAGAAGATATTCCTATGAGCTCATGATACTTCTAGCCATTTTCATAAGGTCAAGGGAAGTACAAGTGTGTGGGAAACAAACCTTGGGCTCCACGTCCCGCTGATGTAACCTGCATCCCCACTGACCTTCTGCTTTCTCCTCCTCTCCCTAGACCGTGACTTTTCCTTTTGCTTTCCTCGCAGGGACTACCAGGTCCAAAAGGAGAAAGAGGAGAGAAAGTGAGTTTTCCTGGTACTGTACATCAAGCACTCGAAAGAGTGGATGTGGTAATCTGCTTGGCAAGCTATGCTTACAAGTGAAGACATTTTCAGAACAGAATAACATAATGTACCAAGGGCTCGTTTCTTTCCATTCACCTGCACTGGCTGTTCTGATGGGTCTGAATAATGAGCTGCTTAGTACCAGTTGTAGTAGCAAAGAAGAAAAGCTAATTGAAAATCCATTCTTTGCTGAGAAGTCAAAAACAAAACCATCCAGCTTCACTGGGAGTTTGTTTTGTTTTGTTTTAAATGTGTGGCATAAGGCTGGGGCTCACGTCTGATGAACCTGTGCCACGCTCAGGTACAGAGCTCCTGAGGTCAGGAGAGCCACGCTGTCTGTGAAGGTTATTTTATTGTCAGATGAGGTTTTGTTCATCTTGACTTACAGTTAAAAAGAAATCCTATGTTTTTCTAGGAGTCCAGGTCTGCTTGCCAAGATTGAGTTAAGTGAAGTAAGCTTCAGACAGGCTCAAGCTGCTTTTCACAGACTGCTTTTCTTCTTTTGTTTCAAGTGAAAACCCCAGCATTATAATTTTTAACACCGTCCTCCTTCCATTTCCAACAGCTTTTCCTTTTCTATACTTTTTTTTGTTCTTTTCACTGGAACGTTCCTTTTTCCCTCCCTTGGATGTTGTGCCAAGCTTTTGTTTAAGCTTGGTAATCTGCATGGTGGTCCACACAGAGCTGTACAGTTTAGAAATGGTTCTGGAAGCATCCAGGGTCTTAGCTATGAATTTTCATGAAGAGACTCAGCCTTCATTTTTTAAGCAGCTTTTTGCATTTGTCCCTATGTTACTAAAACTTTCTAAAGAAAAACCTCAGATGTCATTTATTTAGAGTTTAATAAGGATAAGAATCAATATTCATAAAAGATTGAGACAAAGATAGGATATTGTAATATCTGGTCATGTTAAATGTTTTACATATCACAGACTATTAAGTTATGCACTGCCCATCTGTTTTGATGAAATTTGAGAGGGAAATTTACTCTCCTTTTTTTTGGTAGCTTCAGTAATTATATCAATTCAGTCTAGGCTTTTTGATGTGTGGGAGAAAAGCAATTATTGATGCTTCCCAATGACAATTTTATGGCTTTGGAGCTTTGTAATAAATAAATCAAGAAAATGCATTTCATAGCAATTAATGTCTCAGTAACACAAGCTGACACAAAGAAAGGGCAGAAAGCTGTCCTGCAGTATGATATTGATCCTTTCTAAAAGATATCAATAAAGATGTGAATACTTCCTTTTCTAAAAAAGAATTGTAATGCTTCACTTTAGGGGGAACCACAGTCCTTGGCCACAATTTACCAGCTGGTTAGCCAGGCTTGTGAGCGGATGATCCAGAGTGAGTATAATCACCCTGAGGCTGTTTTCATGCTTCTCCAGTAGCTGTGGACAAAAGCACAGGGGAGGATGGCATGAAGCTGTAGTGAGCCAGAGATCCCTCTCTGTGCAATGCCGAGCATGGTTCCACCACACTGTCCTATCCATTGGTTTCTTTGGGTGGTTTTAGCACAAAGACTTTTGTGACCTTGCAAAAGTTCCTTTCTGTCTTGCCTTCTCAGGTCACGTGTTGAAATTTGACTCATTCATTCACGAACATGCAAGGAAGCCGGTTCCTGTTTGGGAAGAAAGACTGAAGCCAGGAGAGCCAGGATCACCAGGTCCTCCAGGTCCTCCTGGGAGCAATGGAGAAAAAGGAGAAAATGGCATCCCTGGTCAGACAGGAAAAGATGGGTATCCTGGAGAAAGAGGTATGGGCAGAAGTACTTATAAGCATGTTCACCTCATCACCTAGGAAGAGCCTGGTGGGGAGGCTGCAGGGAAGAGCCACTTGTCTGTGTTCTGTGATTAGGTGCCCCAGGACCCAAGGGAGAAAAAGGAATGGCTGGAGTCAATGAGGAAGGCATCCAAGGACCCAGAGGCAGAACAGGTAAATACTGTCTCTCTGTATTGACCACGTGGGGCTGCCGGATTCAAAGCTTCTTCAGTTGTAGGACCACTGTGCTGAGACTGAATGACCTCCCCACCACTGTGCTTTGCATAGTTCCTCTCTGCTCAGATATGAGACCGTTCCTCTCTTCTTTGGTACCCATTCTTAGGTAATGATGAGTTTTAAAGACTTGAGGTACATCCAGAGAATTTTACTGCATTTTTGCATGCAAGACCAGACGCTCAGGAGATAGAAACTCTTCAAAAATTCAGCTCATGGAACACAAGAGTTGTTGAGTAATCTGTTAGGATTTCATGTACTCCTCCATCTTGACCCTTTTAACTTGAAGTCAAGGGGAAGTTTACCACTCACTGTGAAGTCACAAAAACAGTGACTCTGAGGTGGATCCCAGAATTAAGGTGATTTTCTTTATTGACACATAGGTGGGCTTTCTTGTAACCAGCTTGGGGAGCTAGGTACCTTTAAGGCCAAATAGAAGACCTCTAGTTACCGAGATTCAGAAGAATTCCAATTCTTTTCCCCAAAATAAAGCAACAATACTCAGAAAATGAATTGCCACGTTGGATGGGAAAAGTATAGAAGTGTTATATTGAAGCTGTAGATGTGCTGTGGCTTACAGCTTCTTCTTTAGGCCCACCAGGAGAAGTTGTGTTGGGGAAACCAGGCCCAAAGGGCTACCCTGGGAACACCGGTCCTCAAGGTTTTCCTGGTGTCAGAGGACAGCCTGGGCAGCCCGGATACTCAGGGGGCTGTGATGTCTCTGGATGTTATGGGCCAGGTAGAAGAGGTAAGTCCTGATAATTTAAATGCAAGAATTCTTTGCTCTTGTGGCTTCCCTTAAACTACGCAGGAACCTTTGTTCATCCTTCAGGCACTGTTGGTGCTGCAAGAGCCTCCTTTGCAAAGCAATCAGGATGATTCATCTGCAATTAGCCTATTAATGTGGATAACAGCCAGCTCAATTGGCTACTCCTCAGCCTTCCGTCATAGATTAACACATAATTGCAGTAGTAGGGGAACAGGTGGAATGATCTTGGTTATCTTCAGTCCTTAATGCCCCTAACAATGTGTCCATAGTGGATAGAGAGGAATATCTCAGTTCCCACATATGTCTTGGGTGGAGGCTCAAAAAGTCCTGGAAAATGAACTTGCTGACACTGGACAAAAGATTTAAAGGGGAAAGAATTCATTCTGCAGCACTCCTTCTCAGTACTGCTTTACTCTGGTTTATTCTCTTGCTCACTGGCCTCACCTCATTTCTATGCACAGATTTCATCCCCTGATGGCCGATGTGGAGGCAGCTGAGGACAGTTCTCTGCCCTGGAAGTCTATGGGTAAAAGCTCCAAGAGAAGCAGCAACCCGAACAGCAAATGTGTTTGTGCTTTTCTTATTTCCCACTATTTGTATATGGACATATCAGTCAAATGAAGCCAATATCAAACCCGTCAAACCAGCCTGATGAGTCTCAGCCATCCACTGTTTTTCAGTGCCAGACACCTGCAGTATTCAAACTCACAGCAAGGCACACAGCCAAAGCTACAGGCTGACAGACTCGTAAGAAAAAGAAATAATGTATGGAAATGCTTAGAAATAACAAATTTTTGCCCATTTGTCTGCTTGTGGTTTATTTTTGTCACTTGTTATTCTGCATCCCCAGCCCAGAGAAAAACAGCACCTCATGCCCAAAGATGCGAAAATCCACTGGAGCAAAATAGCGTTTTCTGTTGGTTGACAAGGTAACTAAACCTAGCACCATTTGGGCTGTTTCTACTTTTGGCAAATGGCTGATGGCTTTCTTGCAGTGGTGCTCTGTGCAGAAACACTGCAGTCAGTGCAAGCATCTTCCTGTGATGCGACAAACCCCACCTGCAGCCTCGCTTTTTGGGGTCTGATAAGTGCCCTGTGTTGGGCAGGGCACAGCCATGCACTGCTAGGAGCTGGAGATCAACCCGCTGGGCTTTCCCACCTTTACTTCCTGCAATCTGATCGGCCACTTTGCATTTTGTCAGGTAGAATATTGAATTGCTCAAGTCTCCCTTATCCATCTGACATGGAGGTAATTGTGATGTTACGCTCTTTTCCTTTTGTGAGCCATGGTCTGATGTGAATCCAAACTGTGCAGATACTGATAAACAGTACCTTCAGCTTCACAGTTGGTGCTTTGGGCTGCCTTTCTACTTCTATCCCCCACTCCTTCCATTACAATCAATTATCCCTTAGCTTAATGCATTATGTGGCATGCATTAATTTGCATGCAGGGAGCCAGCATTCTCAGCTGGCTGTCAAACCTAACACCTGTGGACACTGGCAGATGCAAAGCAATGGGCAGGAGAGGCAAGGAGACCCAATCAAACACCCACTAATGGAGAAAGCAAGTAGTTCAAAGTGCAATGTCTGCACTTTGCAGTAATTCTGCAAATGTAAATCAGGGCAGCCAAATTCCCAGCTCTGAGCTTGCTGTTCTGTCTGTTCAAACCCAGTGGCAGCGGGTGGTTTGGCACAGAGCTTCTTTGTTTTTCTCTATCGATTAGTTTTGAAAGTGACTAACATCTTCTCACCGTTCACACCGGGGTTTAATCCATGCAGTAGAATTTCAAGTGGCGTTTGCTTTTTCTGATTATTTCAGATACAGCAGGAAAGGACAGGTTTTAACAAAACCAGCTCCATGTGTACCTGCTGTAGGGAACCTGCTTTGGCAGGGGGGTTGGACTCGATGATCTCTGGAGGTCCCTTCCAACCCCTACAATTCTGTGATTCTGTGATTCTGTGAGGGCTATTGATTAGGAGAAAGAAAACTTGCACAAACAACTTGTTCATTAACAATCCTAAACTTTGTCCCATGAGTGGTTTAATTCACTTGAAATCAAGGGGATTTTGCCCTCTCACTATTACAAACTGTTGGTACCATTGCTTTGCCACTCAGTTCCTTCAGAGAATGACTTGGGTTGGAAGGGATCTTCAAGACCACCTAGTTCCAACGCCCTGCCATGGGCTGGTTCCCTTCACCAGATCAGGCTGCTCAGAGCCATCCAGTCTGGTCTTGAATGCCTGCTTGGATGGGGCATCCACAACTGGATCCTTGAAGACCAGTTCCTTGAAACCACCCATTGTGGGTATTAATATCCCACAGTCTTTGCTGGGTGCAACCTGTTGTTTCCCCTGTTGTGTTTTTCCAGCCCCATTTATCACCTTTAATGCATGCTGTAGTTAAAAGCAGTGGCATGTATTAGTAATGCAGGTTTTTTTTCCCAGTAAGGGCTTTGTTCTCAAAGCATTCATCTCTACAAATAAAAGTTTGGATATTAGTTTTCCTGGATTTAATCCTGTTTTTCTTTTTTTTTTTTTTAGATAATTCTGAATTAATCTCAGTGCACAAATTTAGCATGTCCCTGTGAAATCCCACCGGTTCCTATTCTTTCCCCACTTTGCAAAGGAATGCCCGTTTACTTCCCCCTCTGCTCAGTCCTTAAGGAAAATCCGTCTTGATGTTCTCATTATCACTTCCGCCCTAAGCAATCATTAGAGACTTTTTTCCACACAGTGTGTAATGTGATGTCATATTTTCAGACTTTCTTACATCTTCAGATGTTTGTAAATTACGATAAGATTGGGTTTCTATCCCTGCTGCAGAGGTTGGCCCACCTGATGCAGCCACATGCTGGCAGAGGCTGAGGACCTTTCAGAGACAGATTTTTTTGGCTACAAGCATCATTCAATCAGCCTCAGGGGTAAGATACAATACACATGGAGGACTAACTAGCAATATTGCTAACAAGCTGCTCTGAGAAGGCTCTCTCTTCAGGGCTCAGCAGCTTGATTTTCCCAAATATAAAGGTTTGGAGACCAAAAAGAGATTTTGGGTGGGGACAGGAGATTTTATAAAAATGCATACTGCAGTGAGGCAGAGCCCAGAGGGGCTATCAAGGTAGGTGGGGCTGTTACAAGGAATGATCCTTAGCTCCATATGTGTCTGTCATCTCACATACATCTTTCTGCCTGCCTGTCCCTGTGCAAGTGAATTTATTTGAGTCTAGTTTCTAGGTGAGTGTTTAGAGAGAAGCTTAAGCAAAAAGGAGGTGATACAGGTTATGTGGATTAGCTCACTGAAGAAGGAGATGGTATTGTGGCCAATAGCCCTGAAAACAGCTGGTAGGACTAGGAAAGGTTTATTGACAGATTATATAGCTCATCCTACCAACCAGCTGCAGATGAAATACCCCCCCAGTGTCATATGGCTGGGGGAGATGACTTAGGCAAAGTGAGTGCACATACGAAAGACTCCAGAAAATATATATCTTAAAATCTCTCTGCTTTACATGAGGTTGGAATAGCAGAATTATTCATTTTTCCACAGTTACAGTCTGGTTCACATCTCAGTTTTATTCCAGTTTCTGATCATTGAATCCTATGGAGGGATACCATCCTCTTTAGCTATCTCCAGAGTGGAGTAATCCATCCAAGACAGAGTGATGGGGCATGATTCCTGTTTTCTCCCCTTGGATTTTACCAGAAGGCACATCAGAAGCAGAAAGCAAGACATTATTTGAACTTTAAACTGGGGAAATATTAATGCCATGTGAGAAGAAATGGAGCTGCCACTACATGAGAAATGTTATGATGTTAGCAACACCAGAGGAAACCAGTGACCTGCATCATCCGAGCTTCTTCCAAATGCCACTAATATCTCTGTAGCCGGTTTCAGCTGTCACTTCTCATCTTGCTCTGCCAAACCCTGTGATCCCTCAGTGTCACTGAGTCTTCAGGGAAACACAGCCACATCCTCTGCACTCCCCATCACACCTGGCATTTCGATGTGCTAATGGAGCAGATGTGTGTGGGCAGCCCAGGGTGGCAGGGCAGCTGTGCCAGGACTGGATTACACTGCTATGCCCTTGCCAGGCTCCTGTGCTGTCACAGTGCAATGCTCCCCTGGAGATGCTACTGTGTGCACTGATAATCACTTTTTGCAGAGAAGACAGTGGTCTGAGGTGGCACGTTTGCTGTGAGCAAAGTGGAACCTACACTTGCCTCTACAGAATCTCACAAGAAGCTGTTTAGCTCTTGAATCTGTCCTTAAGCCTTTCCTAGTCCTACTGCTGCACCCGAATCGTTCCCCTGTGTTAGGCAGGGGTCTGACTGTGGCAAGTCGGCCAGCTGGGATGGTTATATGGCTGCAGATGCACATATGGCTGCGGATGCACACAGTCAAGCCCATACCTGCTCCACTGCCCTGATGCTCACGGGCTCCTAAGTTGCAGACTGAGCTCTGAGCAGTCCCTGGGCACTGCCCAGGACCCAGCAATACTCTGGGGTCAGAATTTCTCCCACCTTCATGTATTTTGCACTGAAATGGGAGCCCAGCTTGTCTGCAGTGCAGCCCATAACCTTCATGCAGGCTGCAGCTGCATTGGTGCAATTATGCACTAGACCTTGAAGATGTTTCACTGTTTGTTTTCTTTGCGTTGCCATAAGCAAGCTAGCTGACTGTGAAAAAGGATAAATTAGCATCTCTGAAGAGTGAGTCTCTATTCTGAAAGCAAGCAAAGAGCCATCAGCTCCCTAGATGCAGCACCATGCCAGGACTGCGTTTCTGCCAGCTGCATGGATGGAGGGCACATGGCCAAGGCTGTGACAAGAGGAAAAGCAGGTGGAATTGACGGGATTGGCCAACCAGGGTGATCACTGCTTTGATTTTATCTTGTCCTCAAATTTTGATGTACTGTTTTTGGAATGGTTCAACTCCAGTCCTTCCAAGATAGATCAAATGTGAAAATTCTTTGTTTTCAGTCTTCAGACTCTAGACTGTGTCTGGCAACAGTTATTGCAATTCTTGCAATTATAAGTAGAATGAAAATATTTCTCTCTAGTATAACTAATGTTCATATATTAGGATGCATGGTGCACAGAATATCGGAGCCCTCACCTTTTTTATAAAGAAGTACAAAGAACAAATTATTATTAGCTGACATTATGAACTGAATCTGGTATCATAGCATCATAGAATGGCCTGGGTTGAAAAGGACCATACTGATCATCTTGTTTCAACCTCCCTGCCTTGGGCAGGGTCACCAAACATTAGACCAGGCTGCTCAGAGCCACATCCAACCTGGCCTTGCATCCAGGGATGTATAGGTTTACAAGATTTGCTGTCCTTCTTGAACTGAGTGCAGTATCACTGAACCACAGAATGGTTGGGTTGAAAAGGATCCTCAAGACCACCATGTTCCAATCTGTGCTTTGGGCTGATTGCCACACACCAGGTCAGGTCCCCAACCCAGCATTGCTGTCATGAGCAAATCCTAGCACTCTGGATGTGAGTAAGCCTCTCAAGCTCATACAGCTCTGGGTGTGAGCTGTGCATCCACCAAAGCTGGGACTGCTAGAGCTGCTGAGAAGCAAATTCCCTGCAGCCCAAAGGGTTCACGTGCACTGACTGCAGCGTGGGCTGCAGAGGGACGCCTGGGTTCTGAGTCACACAGCCATGCGAGTCCCATGCGAAGGCTGTGTTTTTGGGCTGTATCTGCTGTTCCTTGTGCAGTTTGGTAAGCTGTTTGTAAGCCCTTCTGCTTGTGGAAGCAAACAGGGAGATACGGCACTGAGAGCTGCTGTGCTGCTCCCAGCTGGCAGCCAGCAGTGGAGATGGGAGCTGTGCATTTCTAAGTGCCAAACAGAGGGGATGCTGAGCTGAATGGGCTATGAGAAAGCTGAGAGAAACAAGGCTGCTGAAGCACCAGTGAACAAGGTGATCTATTTGTGTGAGTTCAGCACCTGATGCTCATTAAGTGACTTCTTCCAGCCAATCAGGGAAATGGCAGGCATGGAGGGGAGACCTGCTGCGTGGGAAAGAGCTGCAGAGGAGGATGCAAATCCTCCCTTGCTTTGTCTGAGCCTCACTGAGAGATGATGTCCTTCATACGCATGACTTCTGAAGGGTTTTGGCTAAAGAAACCTCTGCCAATATGAAAACTGCAACCACTGCATTTTGGTGGGCAAACGTTCCCAGTTGTTCCCAGAGGGACTGAGCTGCCCTGAGGAATTCCTTCAGCCCGTCCCCTATGGTACAGACACATCCAGCACGGGTATCCCAAAGCTGGAACTTTATTTATAAAATGACTCATACAGGGACAAGCAACCCCAATCCACCTCAGCAGGACATGGCAAGGTTACACAGGCACACGGAGACCTCTGAAGACGAGCGGAGCAAATTTGCTGGTTTGTATACGCAAAGCCTCTGCATGTGCTGCTTTAGGGGGCAAGCTCATGGCCTTACACTGCTGAGTATATGCCAGTGAATGGCACCATGCTATGTACAAACTTTAATGAGAACTTTTCCCCTAAAATAGATGGAGGATATGAAAATGGCTTGGCAAAATGATGTGACTTCAGAACGTGTTCCCAGTGTACTGTGGAACAACTCATGCGTGGACACGCAGTGAATAATTTAAAGGGCCGGCTCCATTTCTCTGCTCATCTCCTTCCAGATGAACTAAGACCCACAGGGCAGGATGTATTTCCTCATTCTGTGGCTGTGCTTAGATCATTCCTGCCAGCCACGGTGGGAGGAAGAGCCCAACGGTCCCCAGCAAACACACAATGATGAACATCCAGAGGAAGATCCGGTCAATGACCATCGCTACGTACTTCCAGTCTTCTTTCACCTGGCGACACAGAGAAGAAAGGCCAGTTGTTAATGCTTAATTGAGATTAAAATGTATGAAGACTATTTGTGCTTTATTCTAAATACAGTATTTTAAGTCCTTAAGTAGGGAAAAAGGAAAGGGTCTTGCTTACGAACAGTGGTGGAATATGATGGCAATTTTCAATCTGATCACTTGCATGGGAGACATCCCCAGTAACAAACCCTGTTCACAGCTCCCCAGGGATGATATGTCTGTGGATAATTAAGTGTGTATGCACACTCACAATCCCAGTTTCCACGAGCAACAGCTGTAACAGGGTGTGTAAATGAGACTGAGATTCAAGTTGAAGTGGGAAAGAAATTGCTTGTTTCTTTGTGCTGGTAAACAGATTCGTTTACAGATTAATGAAGCCGAATGCATTCTGTGAAGGGAATTACAGCTTTGGCTGAGTGAGCAGTGAAAACAAACCAGCAAATAAAACAAGTGGTTTGCCTCATCCTGCTTTTTCTCCACTTTTGTCTTGCTGTGGGATGATTTTCCAGCAATTCCTCTCTGGGGAAGCCTAGTTCTTATTAGCACCATCAGGCAAGACCTGTTGTAAATGGCTATTTCATCAAGTAAGAAACCACATAAATATGAAAACCTCTTTTATTACGCTGCTGTTATTAATTCCTTTCCCAGGAAGAGGACTGATCAGCTGGTGAAGCTTTATTTGATATGGCTGCCCCAACTATAATTCTCCACAATATACCACTTGATGATTAATAGCCCTGATGTCGCCTTGCGCTTCGGGCTGAAATCTGGCAGGCTGCCCTGATCCTTAGGGAAAACATCTCAGCAGGAGCTTGCTCCTGCCTCTTCTGTGCTCGTGACTGCAGCAAATCAGGAGTGTGGTGCACGGAGTAGGAGGCAGCAAAGCTGAAGTTGTGCTTTGCTTGGGCTGCTTTCCCTCACCCACCAGTGGGTGCAAACGGAGGATTTCATTATTCAACAGCCAGGTTAAAAAAATAAGATTAAATATTGGCTTGTGCTGAAGCTGCTTACTTTCTTGGAGGAAATGACTGATCTACCATTGGTGAGTAAAAGAAATAATAACCCTTGAAATCAGTCACTATCCTCTCGTATCAAGGATGAAGTCACTGTGGATAGCCCCTTTTTGCCTTACAGGTTTTCTGATCTATTCATCATTTGCTGAGAGTTGGAGTGAGTCTCTGAAGCTTAGAATTCCTGGTGAGAAGGCCGCTTGCAAGCTCAGGATGACTGTATTTAGAGGTTTAGCATCTCATGAAGAGGCAATGTGTAAAGAAAAGCTGAAATTCTCCATCTGATGTCAATCTGGAAAGGTTGATTGAGATAAATGCTTCCCCATTATGGCAATATAAGGGGTTTTTGAGTCTTTATGCTTAGGAGAAGTGAGTGGTAGACCACCAGAATGCAAGAAATGAATGAGAAGAGTTTCCCTTGGAGAAAAGAAAGGGGGAATGGGAGAAGAGGAACAGCTTGAGAAGTTCAGCTGAAATTTCCTTCCAGACGAAATGGATTACTCATAAACAGTCAGCCTAACTTGAAAATGATGGTTCGGAACACACTGGATGTTTGCAAAATCAATATCCAGCTTCAGAGCAAGAGCACAGAACGGTGAAATTAAAAAATATTGAGAGAAGACGAAAAGAAAGGGGGGGAGGAGGAGGAAAAGCAAATGGTTTGGGGTTTTGTTTTGTTTCCTGACTGCTCTGTAGCATTTCCCCATGATTGAAACTCTCCAGCATCTCACGTAGAGCATGATCCACAGAGGCCTGTCTGACAGCATCCATGCAGCTGTCAGCATCTGCTGCCCCAACTCCTGAGCTGCGTCCTGATTAGTTTTTAAGAGGCTCACTCAAAACTCTTTTTGGGAAAGGATCAGGGGCTGCAACCAGCTGATTGTCCAACCCCCAAATTCCTACATGGTCAGGGGCTCTCTGCTCTTCCCTGGTCCATCCCAGCAGCAGAACAGGGCATCAGCCCCAGGGCTGGAGCTGGAGGTGCCTTGGGGACCTCCAAGTGCCATCTGATGCTCAGGAGCCAGAGCCTGTCACACAGATTAGAGGAGTCCCGAGTGGTTTTATTGTACTTTGTTAAAAATAAACCAGTGAGATTATCCCGTGTTCCCTCCCCCTCAGCTATTTTCTCTCTCCCATTTTATTTTTTAAGCTGTCTTCATGGGCTTCTTATTAGAGTAGCCCTGAGATGCACACAGTCACGAGGACAATGAGGCTTTGCAGACGGTGCTGTCGGTTATTTTGGCTGGTGTGTGACATGCAGCTCGTTTTACTTCTCACCCTGTAATTAATTTCTAATGGCATTCCTATCACACACTGGGACAATTCAGTCTTGCATTTTCCCCAGTGTCTTGTTGTGCTGGTTTGGTCACAGATAAGTTTCTGTAGCAAACAACTGCCCTTTTGCATTCCCCATTTTCTCTTTGCTGAAGCACTTAATTAAATGAACTATTTACTTTTAATTTAGAAACACTGCCCCTGTGGCAATGGTGCTTTAGAAAAAAAAATGAAGTTTAAAAGAAGCTTTGTTCCCATCCTGCAAAGGTCCGTGGCTCAGAAAATATGACCCGAAAGGCAATAAGCTGTGTCCCAAAGGCTGCTCTGCACAGAGCTGCCTGCTGATGGGTTTGGGGGAGGCTTCCACCCCTGGTAGAAATGCCACAATTTGATTTTGAGATGAAAGCAAATCTATCTATTTTTTTGTAGTAAATTCTCATTTTATTAGATCAGGTCTGTTCCTTACAGTTATTTTCAATACCAGGGAGCCTGGTGCACTGACGGGCTCCACTCACTGCTGGATGTGCACATGGTGTCTTTGCTCACCATGGAGGGCTTTTTAGAGCCCAAAGAATTCTTCCTTTTCTTCTGCTTTTGATCTTTAGTGTTCCAAATATATCCCTCCTTGGGATAATTGTTTCATTTCAAGAGGGAAACAGGGAGAGGGAAGAGTAGCAGAGAGTGGAAAGAGAAAGTTCATTTTGAATCATAGAATGGCCTGGGTTGAAAATAACCACAATGATCATTGAGTTTCAACCCCCCTGCTATGTGCAGGGTCACCAAGCACCAGACCAGGCTGCCCAGAGCCACATCCAGGGATGGGGCATCCACAACCTCCTTGGGCAACACTGTTCCAGTGCTCTTTCTTGAAGAAAGATGTGATGGATTGTGATGGATTAAGAGGAAACAACAGGTATTCATCGACTCAGTTCTTGTTGACATCAACAAGCTTAGCAGGGAAAGAATCAGTTGAAGTAAGTATTATTGATGCAATATTTTTTTCATTTGCACCATGGGGAAATATGTGAGTTAAAAATCAATTGACTTCCATGGGCTTATTCATGATTATTACTAGCTGGAGAGAGCAGAGTTTAATTCCCACAGTCTTAATGTGATGGTGAAATGTTTCAGCCCAGGAAAGAGAGCTGAGCTGTCAGCTAATGAAGGTGAGGGTTCACAGCCTTCTTTGTCACAGATTTGTTCTGCGACCTTGTACAGGTCAACTCATCTCTGTGCTTTGGCTGTCACTCCTCAAAATGAGGAATAAACAGCTGCTTCCTCAAAGGGATGCTGTGAAGTAAAATACATTAAGGAACAGAGGCCTCTAAAACTGTGGTACCAAAGAGCACATAAATGGACAGTAGCACTTAATCCTTTGTTGCTGCTGCTAAGTGCTCTGTGCTATGAAAAATGCAAATATAAAGATACTCTTCAAGCCCAGGAAGTCTTGCTAAAAGCACTATGACTTCCTTTGACTGTAAATCTGGTGACAATCGAACTGTAAGAACTGTCAGAAAGGTATCTTTGCTGACTGATACCTCTAAGAAAAACTAGATCCCGTTTTCTTAGCAAGAAGCTTGTGTCTGTGACCATAATTAGCTGGCGTACTGTAACCATAGTATTGTAAGGGAAGAGCTACGAGATATAAAAGCATGTGGCATTTGTATGTGCATCACCATCTCCATTAAAAAAAAAACCTTTCAGCCTCTACTTTCTCTCTCTATTTGTAGCCATCTTTACCCCTTCAGAGTAAGCACGAAGTCTGTCTGTCCACCCACCTTCCCGCAGACTGAGCCAAGAGGAGCTCCACTGGAAGTCCACTAATGAGGAATGGCGTCACACATGGCTAAACATACCCTGCAGCATCCCCACGCTACGGCACACTTCCCACAGCCACAGCCTATTTCAGGAATTTGCCTTCCCAAGCTCAGTAACCACAGTCAGTGCTGAAGAGAAATCACAGTGCAAATTCCCTGTCTGTCAGAGGCTTCGCTAAAAAGAATTCTGCTGTGTTCCCACAAATGTGACTGCTTTTCTATTTTCTTTCACAATCATAGCCCAGGAAGGGTCAAGATGCTTCCTGGAAGGCTTCTGTTTCTGTGCTATCATCTCATTATAAAACAGTTTGTGGCTTTTATCTGCAGAAAACTGAAGGCACAGTTCAGAGCCATGATGTGATCCTTGTGCAAAGAGCAGTGCTGTGAACTGCTGAACTACCAAAGCAGGGATGTTAGGGCAATGCTGGGGCAACCAACGTCAAAGTGCACTTGCTGATACTGTTCTCAGGAATGGGACAATAACAAACCATGCTGGCTCCTTCTCTGGCTGTTTCCTATAGCAGGCAAAGGCAGAATCACTACTGCAACATGCCCTCTAACCTCAATTAAAATCACATCCTTAGCTGCAATTAAAAGTGCTTTGAAATGGTTCAGTCTTGAAATAACAAAGAATTTCTCTTTTTTTCTAGCTATATTTTGATCCTCTAAGAAGCAAAATAAATTAAATACCCTTATGCCCACCCCAAAATTTGAAGACTTCAGGGGAAGATGACTGTTCTCTTCTACAACTGGTCCTACTTGACCAACAACTCCACTTTTCTGCTGTAGAACCCTATTGTTTGAGAGCAGCCCTGAACATGCCCTGGTTGTGCCAGACCCTTGGCCTGGCAAGACCCCAGAGATATGCTCTCTAGCTATATCCAGGGTCATGGCATTGTGGGCTTAGTGGGGACATGTTGATGGTTGGATCAAATGATCATAGTGAGCTTTTCCAACCTTAATGATTCTATAATTCTGTGATTCTATCTACAGTGCCAGTGTGTCCAGGACCCACGATGGTGAATACACTCTGATACCTCTCAAGTTTGGTGAGGTTTCCTTCAGATTATTTTCAGCTTACCCAAGGAGGCCAAATTCACATACTTACCGAGAAATCTGCATCTTCTGCTCGCAGGTGGTCTGCAATATAGTGGACCCCTTCCACTGCCAGCTTCAGGGCTGGGGACATCAGCACAAGGTGTTCTCCTTTGTTGCTGTGACTCTTGCTTCCTTGAGTCGGCGTGCCAGCTGCCTCTCCCTTTTTGCACTTACACTTGCACTGGTGGGGCTTGTGCTGGGGTTGCTCTTCATTGAGGTGGCAGCGCTGCGATGCTGGAGAGGCACTGGAGTGGCCATTGGTCTGGGAAGAGTCCTCCTGCAGGTAACAGTACTGGATGCTGCGGGACCTACAGCGGATGTTCCCTTCCTCTGTCTTATTGGGGCTGTACATCTGCTGAACACTCAGCGATCTGCCTTTTGAGATGGATGTGGTCTGGGTGTCACTCAGGGGGTGGCAGGAGGACTGCGGAGAGGAGCACGTCACCTGTGGGGGCTCAGGGTGCAGCATTGAGTACTGTCCAGAAGGGGATTTGCACATTGGCTGGGCCTTGGCTGGCTCCTCAAGGTGGGCGCAGAAGGAAGATGTGGGTGAAGGTTCATTACTCTGGGGGCTGGGGGAGGATGAGGTAGTGAAGTTGGGCTCCATGTCGGCCTCGGACCAAAACCTTGGTGAGTTGGTCATTTTGTGCATAGATTCGATAAGCTTCTTGCAATTGTCCTTCACTGTGGAGGGACGCTTCATGAAGAGGAGACGTGGGACTATGTCAAGGAAGACTCTCCTCACCCAGTCAGGCATCGTGTGGGTACGTGGGGAACGGTGGTGCACGTTGAGCACAAAGACAGTGATGATGATAGATAAGGTGACAAATATCATGGTGAAGAGCAGATACTCTCCTATCAGGGGGATGACCAAGGAGGTAGAAGGGATGATCTCTGTGATGAGCAGCAGGAACACCGTGAGGGACAGCAGCACAGAGATACACAAGGTTATCTTCTCTCCACACTCAGAAGGTAGGTAGAAGACCAAGACGGTCAGGCAGGAGATAAGCAGGCAGGGAATGATCAAATTGATTGTGTAGAACAGTGGCAGCCTCCGGATAATGAAGGAGTAAGTTATATCAGGGTAGATCTCTGTGCAGCATTCATATTTCTTGCTGTTGTAATTGCCCACAGCATTAATGATGACCCACTCCCCACTTTCCCAGTAGTCCAGTTGGTCCACGTGGCTGTGCATGCTCACCAAGTCTATCTTAGCTTTGTCATACGTCCAAGAGCCAAATTTCATTTTACAGTTCTGCTGATCAAAGGGGAAGAAGGTAACATCGATGCTGCAGGAGCTTTTATAGATGGCAGGCGGCATCCATTTAATTCTCCCATCATAGAAGAGGTGGGCTTTGGTCAGGTGGGTGACTGCAAAGTCACCGTCAGCGCTAGGGAGAAAAAGAAGATAAAAGAGACTGAAGTTCTTTGAAACTTATCTAATTACTAAAGAAATAGGATATTTACTGTTTGGCTTCCAAGGATGCACTCAGGGCACCTCAGAGATGCAAGGTGTATACCATCCACCCTACCCAGATTCTGAACTCTATTGGCTTATGCAAGCACTGGATTTGAATGCAAATGTCAAACTTTGACACTATGAGCCATGCCCTGGAGCTAAATGCACTCAAAATCCCCTGGAAGAGGAAAATGCCCTGGAAAGGGTTGATTTTGCTCTGCTTTAGAGAGGTAGGAAGAACCAGCCAGTGTGGCTGTGAGCTCTAAAGAGTTGTGATAGCCACTGTAAGTGAACACTGTTGGGTAATCAGTCAGTTTCTTACACAAAAAAACAGTTACAACATCCTATGAATAGGAGCAATAACAGTTAGAGTCTTAATTTCCCAGTATGGGAATTATTTACATTGTCTTTTTCAGGGACTCTCAGTTGGGGGCTGTGTGCTGAGATCAGATACTTAAATGAGAACCCAGGATTTTCAATCAGAAAGCCTTATCAAGCTAGTGTCTTTGGAAAGTCACAACCTGGACACCCAATAATTATTCTGTGGTGGTGAACTGGGCTTTCTAGCTAAATTCTTGCTTCAATAGTGAAAAGTCTTTACACTCAGTGGCAAGTTCTGGAAAAGCCAAAGTTTTTTTCTAAGACGAGAAAGCTAAAAATACATACAAACCCAGACTGCTCTCCCCAAGGGATCAAGGCAAAAACACCCGCACCTTTCTCTCTAACACAAATGAATAAGAGCATTACCATCGTACCATGCATTTCCTTTCTTGACTTTTCTTTTTCATGTCTAATTTACACTCATGAACTTCTTTCTCTGGATGAAAACCATCTGGTTTTCTCCTGGGTTTGTCTGCCCCGTGAAGCCAGATTGAGATACAAAACATGCAGAGCAAGTGATGCTCCGGCATTTGCTCTTCTTGGTGGTTTTCTTTCTAAATCTCAATAAGAACTTGGAATCCAATTCTGCATTTAATGAGACCTTAGAGGCCCGATTAAATTGTTCATTAATGGAACAATATGTTTATAATTGGACTGGTATTGCAGCAAAGAGATAATGAACATCCACCAGTGTTTCCTTTCTCAGGTAGAATGATGTGCAATTGGCTGGGCAAACAACACAGCTGTGGTTTTGCTATTTAATGCTACTGCTAAAGGGCACGAAGCTCTTGCACTAAGGGACAACAATTCTCTTAGGTATTATTTTCACAGACTTTGTTTCTTTCTCAAAACTGTCCTGTCTGGCAGTTTTGTCAAATTCCTATGCCTCCCTGCATGCCACTCTTCTGTAAGCATACATGCAACTAGAGTGATGCTGCATGCCTTGCACATCAATTATTTCAGTAACTGATCTGCTTCTTTGATTAGAAGGCCATTTGAATTGCATGCCCAACAAACCCAGCCTCAGCCCCGGTCCTCTCCAGCTCACACACTTACAGATAGCTGCAGCTTTATCTTCCAAGGCAGATGTTGATGCAGTGCCATGGCAGGCATGAATCCAAAGGCAGAGTTGTTTCTTGCATCTGAGGGTTATCTAATGACTCTGAGGAACCTTAAAACATCCTGGCATCTTCCTGCTCTTCCCTTAGCAACCTAACAAGGCTATAAAGTAATTCTTGACTTTGGATGGGTTTCATAGCATGTGCTTGAACTTCTCACTTCGGTTTAGCATAGAGATATCTGAGCAATTTTTAAGCAGGCTAAATTAACCTCGATACTGTGGGCAGATGGAATCAAAGCCAGTTATGTTGTGCAAAGATAGTATTAGCTGTTGCCTTAGCCCATTGTGCACATACACACATATACATATTTATATATATATATATTTGCCTATTTTCCCAGGCTTCCCACCCACACTGGACCCTCAAGCATATGCTCACAGACTTGGAAACCACGCTAGCTGGCATGCTGTCGATGTAGGGTGAAGCCAGAGAAAGTCTTTCCTTCTGGCTAAGGCTTTCATTCTGTTCATCTTGACATCAAAAAAGATCACCAGGTTGTTGACAGCCTCCAAAAAAGCCTTTCTCCTGTCTTCTCCAAGGTGTCAAGCTGAGAAGACCATCCGTAAATGAAGTCTGCAGTTACGAGATTGGGGAAACCTTTTCTCATGGAAAGCTTTCCTATAGGAGAATCCATTCTTGGTCAAGTTGTGCCAACAATCACTAAATAACATGAAGGATGCCTTAGGCAGGCAGGGGGGAAATCGGCAGGGAAAATCAGCAGTCATTGCCTCACAGTGGTAGCACAATTTCATCTCATTGAGTCTCGACCACTGTGTTGTGACAGTTGCATCGAAAAACCATTTGGAAGCAGGAGAGAGTGAAAGGTAAATATCACAACAAGAAGTTGAGAATTAAGACAGACAGGCTCTCCTGATTGCTCCGACCTGACAGCTCTAAAAAATCTGCCAGTAATAAAGTGCCAGAGCTTTTATATTTTCATGTCAAACACAACTGTGCACTCTAATAAAGACAGAAGACATTTTCTCATTCCTTTTCTGATGGAAATAGTGCTGCTGCATTCTGCAGCCTCTGATTCTTCAGTTCTGGGATGCAGGCACTTCTTCTAAAATCTTATACATTCCTGAAGGTGAGAGGGTGGCATTGTTTCCCTGGCAGCCATCAACCGTGTTCCATTAAAAAGCTCTGCTGATGGAGTATTTTTGCCCATTTCTGTTTTGCCTGCAGTTGGAGAAGGATCATCTCACAAAATTGAATGTTTTCAGAATACATGCAAATGAGGTGCACGCTTATTTTAATTTCTGATGATACCACTTAAATCCAAAGAGAGCTTTAAAAGCTTGAAAATTAGCTCTACACATGTATGGACGTAGTTAGAATGCCCTCATTTAAAGTATTTGTCACCCAGCAACAGGAACCAAGGCAAAATGGGGTTTGAGGACCCTGTTAAACAACCCACCCTGTGCCCTTTTGGCAGATATTAAAGAGATGCATCTGTATCGTTCAGATTAAAGCACTCCGCAAGGGCAAATCAAGTCATCTTTTGTTCAGTAATTACTTTGTATTACTGAAACGATCACCAGGAATTCAAAGGTTGAAAAGGACCTCTGGAGATGATCTAGTGCAAATTCCCTGCTCAAAGCAGTCAGCTACAAGAGGGCAGTCAGGACCTTCTCCTGCTGGGTTTGGAATACCTACACGTTATTGGCAACTTGGGGACAAAACAGTTATGTAGATACAGAGTTTGGGCGTTGATTTCAGGTTCCATCCCAGCATTTGCTTGCTTCAGATGTTGAGAAATCATGGATAACAGAAATCTCCAGAACTCCTCAGTAAAAGCAGCATCTGTCTCAGACATGGCTGAGCTGCACTGATGAAATAAGCACAACTTCCTCAGAAAGCTGTCGCAGTACTGAGAATTTGGGCATTTTACCTTTACTCTTGGCTTTGCCAAGAATCCTCATCAGCACCACAGAGGTAAACTCTGTCCTGATGTTATGAGAAGGCCTCGAATGCTAACTCAGCTACAGCCCAGGAGAGAGCTCCCTCTTAAAGGTTTCCATCAGTTCTTGTAATACTCAAAGGCATCTGAGGATGCCTCTAAAAATATACTGAATTCCCAGAAGAATCAGGAAAGTTTAAATGTGAAGCAGCAGTTGCAACTTAAAACTACAGTCTGGTGCAAAATGACAAGATCTGAGTATGCACACAAACCAAGAAAAATGTCAATAATGTTTCCAACATTTTTAAGGTTAGACTAAGGCATCTTTTGGCATTTCTCTTCCAAACGGTGTCCAAAAGGTTTGGAATGACTCAGAAAACCAGTGCTATCCCATAAGCTTCACTGGTTGCAAACATCATCGTACAGTTCAAAAGAACAAGCCATTGTAGCATACTTCAAAGAACTCTCTGCTTCCTCAAGATTTTCAAAAGCTGCCTGCCAGATGAACTTCTAATCCAGTCCAGCAACCCTTTCTGTCCAAATTATCACTGGCTGAATTTCCTCAAGATATGTCCTCCTCCTAATTACTGAAATTGTATTATTTGAATTCCCCTCATGCATGAGGAATCTTTTACTCACTTTTTGTTACTACGGATGATAAGGCAGGGATTTCCTTTTGGAGGAGTCAACTCCAGAAAGCATTGAGAAAAGTAAATTATGAAGTCAGAATGTTTCCAATAGCCTTTCCCCAGGTTTTACACTCAGCAGGGATGAGAAATGCTGCAATGCTATCTCAAACATCTAGTAGAAAGCGAGCCAGCAAAGCTCACATTTCGAGTTCCCTGCCCAACCATTAGGCTGAAGGTTCTTGCATTCCACTTTAGCAACTGGACCAACTGGCTGCAAATTTGCTGTTCCAAAGTCCCGTGGAGTTTCAGTGATGTGCTGGATCCAAATCACACAACACAGTGGTGGAGCAGTGAAAACACTAAAATGCAGACCTAAGTGTTCATTCCTTGGTTAAGCTGACAAAAAAAATATTTTTTTTTTCCACTTTAAATACACAAAGGAAAACTAAAATGTGCATAAAGTCCATTCATGAATGGAAAAATAAGTCAATGCAGAGAATTAGATAATTCGCTTACAAATGATTTGGTGGCATCTGAACTGCCTTTAGAGACTCAGATACAGAACAGCTGGCCTTCTTGGCAGAGAAGAGAAGCTTTGACAGTTCCCTATTAACTCATATTCCTCTGCTATACATATGTTTTGTTGTGTCTAGCAGAAACTATTTACAGAGCCTTAGAATTTATCTCATTGAGCCTGAAAACCCAACAGCATATTCATTTCCCTGTAGAATATTAATTTGCTTTTAGATTCCTTGTGAATCGTTATAACTACATAGGTTCTTGAGGCCCAGCCATCCAAGTTTACTCATTTAATTTGGGCCTCTAGAGTGGATAAATGGAAGTTTTGGACAACAACGAGCTTAGGCATGAGAATAACTCACAAAAAAGCATTATGCTTCCTTAATGATGTAAACTTGAAATCAATTTAAGTGTTATCATTTCTATACGCTCCTCAGGATGGAAACAGGAAAAGCCTTGTGCAACCTGCTGTCCTGAAAGTCTCTTTTCCAAGGGATATCATCCCAAACAGAAACACCATAATTCCACCAGAGCATGTGCTAACCATTGAACAACTCACATTAAAAAGCTCAAACAGTGCAAAGGCCAACAAGGCCACTCACCCTGTTCCATTGAGGTTCCTGCACACAATTCCCTTGGTGGTATAAATTCAGAGTTATAAGTATGTACTTTAAGTTCCCCCTAAACAATATGCATAAAATATGAGAGGGAATCCTTATTTATATCACCCATGAGCATTCACTATCATTTCTAAACTTTCCTGGAACATTCCCAGCTGGAATGAGAACACACTCAAGAAAAGAAACGTGGTGGAATTAAACAGCTGCTGAGCTGTTGAGGAGAAACACCTGCTGATGCCCCCTCATGCTGTGTGTTTTGCCTTACCTTGTCCTGCAATCCTTAAAGAATCATGAAACTTCATTGTCAGAGTGGTGCAACTAAGACAACAAGTGCAGTTACAGATGGATTTAGTAGGAAATCAGATAGACAAGCGCCGCCAGGACAGACAGCAGTCTACACAAGACATGTCTGACACTATATGAAAGAGCATGGGCAAGTATAGAAATAAAGAGAGAGAATTAATGGAAAGCCAATGCTGACCAGCTAATGGTTGGCGCCTACAAGCATGTTTAATTCATGGCTAAAGTAACCAATTAAAAATGTATGATGGACTCATGACAACCATCAGGAGAACACACGATTATAAACTGTAAGCATGGGTAAAAGAAGAGCTGTAAGGTTTGGTGGCTGGGTCAGACCTCACTGAGCCAAGCACTGAGGCAGGTAAAGCTCAAAGTGTTGCAGCCCCGAAGAGCACAGGAAGGACATTCTGGAATAGCTGCTGTTATCACACTGGGGTTTCTGAGGAGCATTAGCCACTGGTGTGACAGCAACACTCCATGCCACTGAGGATCAGGGACAAGCTAACAGGAAAGGTGACAATTTCAATTGCCTCCAAACCTCACAGTCCTCCAGAAATTTTCCCACCAGTCGTGTCTTTGAAAAACAAAACCAAATTATATCAAACTAGAACCAGGCAACTCTTCTTTAGAAATGAACCTGGCTTCTATTTGGTGTGTTTTCTCTGAATGAAAGCCACATACAAAGATGGATTTGTTTGACGCTTGCAGAAATATTTTCTCTGGAGCCTGTGTGGGGAGGGAGCCTAGAATACCCTGCATCCAAAGAGACCACAGAGCTCTGGTACGATAAGCAAAGGAGAAAGCAGCCTCGGCACTTGGGAACTCTTCCTTTGAGTATCAAAAATATCTGAAGGAAAAAAAAAAAGCACCACCTACTCCCTACAAGGTGTGCAAATGAGAGAAAGATTACAAGCCTTGGGGATCAGGAACAAATACCTATTTAGGAATAATTCTAGAATTGCATTGAGCAAACCTGTATTTGTAGCAAGTCTGACATTTTTTGGTTAATTTGCCTTTTTAAAACCCATTCTTGGTAATGAGCTTCTCCAGTTGATGGTGATGAATGAGAAAGGAGAGCTCCATGCTGACAAGGGCTGACAGATCCAGCTCAGATTAATTCTCTCTCCAACATGTGGCATCCCCCACATTACTCACTGCTAGAGAGCAATCATCAGGACAAAAAAACACCACCAAACCTGTGATGAGCGTTAGTCATGCCATTTGAGGCATGTCTAGGACAGATACTGTGAGAATCTAGGACAGACATTACAAAAATCTACACAGACCTCAAGAAAAGAGAGCAAAAGAAGGAGGGACAATTGCAAAAAGCTCCTCGATGCTGTAGGAAGGGAAAGTTGGCAAGGATGTGTTTGCCTTCCAGACTCTGCGCTCACACTCACTTATTATAGAGGACAATGTCTGGCCTCCAGATGAGCTCTGAGGGGATTCGGATGGATGTGACATTTTCATACTCCTGGGGGTCCCAGCGCAGCTTGTAGTCATGCCATTCCTGCCAAAAAGTAGGTGGTTACAGAACTGGGAGAGTCCAGATCGCAAAACTGAAATGTAACAGGGAAAAGCACATCTTTTGGTGCACCCACCTGCTTCACCCACACATTTGTGGTCATCATTTGGTTCTTCTCATCCTGAAAAGCAAGATCAGATGTTGGTTACAGGAGCACATGAAGCGGCCCAAGGAATAAATTAAATTAAATGTAACTTCATTGCACTTGATTTCTGTAATGACAAACCAATTCCGCAATAAAAAGAAGTTTAACCTTGGAAATAAAAAAGCAGATGTTTCCTTCATTCAGAATGGGACAGGGCACAGCTGTCTGATACCACACAACAGCTGATCCTGCACCGAAGCAATCCCGCCAGCAGACTGGCTTGAATTTACCGGGATTTTCCTGGGTTCAGCCTCAGATGATGGGGACAGGTAGAAGGAAACGCTCCTCAGCTCAGCTTTGTCCTGAGCACTGAGGGAAGGGAATGTTGTACGTATATGCTCAGTCACACTTGTGCATGGCTTACAGTGCTCAGCTCTATAGCGCATAGTATTTAGTATTTCCATGCAACATTATCAGTGAGCACAGTTTTGGAAACATGAAGCTCAGTGGTATTTCTGTTTCTATAAAATACATGAACTTTGAGCACCATGGAGTGACTGACTTGGACAAAACCACGCTACTCGGATGACACGTAACCTTTAGGTCTAGTGCATACCCATGATGTTGACTGGCAGGCTTTCTCCCACCTCCAATTAGAAATAGCACGAGACAGCAGAACTACAAATAAACCTTCAAATAGTGCTGAATTAATAGCATAGTGGTATTACTAGTGGAACTAATTATTATTTGCCACTTGCCTTGCATGCAAGTTACCAGCCCTGTGTAAATCACCAGGATGAATTATAGAGAGCCCAGAGCTTACTGGCATGCTTGTTTCTTTTCTCTCTCTTTGGTCTGGCATCAAACCCTGCTTGGATGACAGGGCTCATTTGCAAACAAACTGCTCATCGTTAACTTTGCACTTGTGCCAGTTCAGGATTAATTCTGAGCATTAAAAGCCAGAAGGCTTCACATGGCTGTGTCTCCCCACTCCTTGCGGCCACGGCATTAAGTGTAGCACTTGAGTAGAGAGACCTTCATCCAGGAGATGGGCACCAGCAGCACGTGGAGGAAGGAGGAACACAAAGAACATTCAAATGAGTGACAAAGGAAAGACAAAATCCAGCTGTTTCCTGGGGTGCAGGTGGGACAGCAGGATTACCACTGGTGAGGCAAAGGACTGGACCACCACTCTGCTTCTTTATACTGGGGACTACAGCCTCACAGGTGCCACCATCTTCCCATGTAAATTCCTGCCTACTTTCTCCCTCCAGGCTACACCTGAGGGCTCTGCTGCCCTCCTGGCCCAAGCGAAGGATATCTCTTATTCAACAGGTTCCTCACAGTGGCGATGTGATGCTGCCTGCCTGGCTCACTTCTTCCACACAGAGCACAGCAGGGGATTCTGCAGCTAAGGCACAGCTGCTCTGCCTGGTCTCTTTTCTCAAGGTGAGCACAGCACCATGCAGAGACACGGGTTTGGACTCTAAGCATGCCTCTCAGTGGCTGTTCCCAGACATGTGCCTGATCCCCTACCCTTCTTCATGGCTCTGAAACACCCGGGTGAGCTGAGGACACGTGGCGATGTCAAGTTCCCCATTGATTTTTCTTTCCCTCCCAGCTTTTGTCAGCAGGAGCCAGGATTTGAATAAGGCTCTGATTTCTCTTTCAGACTTCTTGTCGTTGGGAGCTGAACAACAGCCACGCAGGGGGCTGCACAAGGAATGCCACTGCTGGGGAGAGGCAGTCGAAGTACTGCAGCAGTGGCAGCAGTGACATCCACATCCCCTGACCCCAGGGGTGTGGGAAGGGATGAGACCCCTCCTCTTGCCTCCCCCAGCACAGGGAGGCCAGCCAGTTGCACTTCTGACCACTAACATGACTTTAAAAAGATTAATTCTTCTTCAGGAACCTGGGAAGAGCTCTACAAGGCAGGTGTATCGATCCCACCCCTCCGTGGTTCTGCAGCTGCATAATGGAAATCTCTATCATGCTTCCACAGTCACTAATGTCTCATCTTTACTCTTATCAATTATTTAGATGAGAACTGAACAACTTCTTTATGAACGACTGCAAACAGCTCTGGATTGCGCAGGCTGACAGAAAGAGAGAAGAATGGAGGATCACTGTTGTGCTGCAGAGCTGATGTCTTCCTGCAATTGATGTCTTCCAGTTCCTCCTCTCACCCCACCTTGGCTTCATTTCCCTCGCATCTAAGGTCTGAAGCTCTGCAATCAGGGCTTGTTGTGCTTTCCATCTATCTTTCACCCTTTCACTTGGCTGCCTGTTGCATTTAGGCTGGTACTCACAGCAGTGTAGCATCTTCCAGTGTTCTTCTTTCCCTTATAAAAATCTATTTTTCCTCATGAAGCCACAATGCTGTGAGGCTCTATGAACCAATGGAAACATTCAACCTGAATACTTAAGGATTCATTGAGGATGAAGGACATAATGGCACACCATTGTGAAAGATGCTTTGACCACATCAATAGGAGGCGAGGTGGAGCCCAAGAGGCCTTGGGAGACCAGATTGGTTATTAGGAAAAATTTCTTCTCAGAATGTATGGTGATGCAGTGGCACAGCAGTCCAGGGGGTGCCGGGATCATCATCCCTGGAGGTGTTCCAGAGCTGTGGCACTGAGGGATGGGGTCAGTGCGCATGGTGCTGTGGGCTGGAGTTGGACCTGGAGATCTTAGAAGATTTTTTTAACCTTGATGACTCCAGAATCATTTGGAAAGAGACTTTGATCACCTCAGCAGAGGTCCAAAAGGAGGGGATGGGCAGGCTCCAGCAGCACCACGTACAGCAAAGGCATGGAGGATGATTCCAGATTTCTGCTTATAGCCTCTGCTATTTCAGTTATTCCTGGATGAAATCTTGATAATAAGAAATCTCAACTTATTTAAGAGAAGTTCTAAAAGTTTTTTTCCCTCCGATTTTATAACCCTTATCTCAAAATATAAGACACAGAGAGTCATCTGCTATGATCATCCTACACTATGGGTACTCTATTAGAGAGCAACGTCTCCAATTTGCATCATACTCTGCATTATCACCCCCTTTCTTTTTGCCACAAAAAAACAGCAAAAATTGATAGAGGGAGCTTCTGAAAGCATGACCAGAGCTTGTTCAAGAGATGTGCCTTGATGTCAACACAGTGTCCTGGGAAGCACCGTCTGCAAATGGACTGAAAGAAGCCCACAGGAGCAAGATGTGCACAAGCTGGAACGTGTGTGTATGCGTTCCATCACCCTGTGGGGAATCACCTGTGTTTGTGACTGTAGGAAACACACACTGCAAGAGGATAAGCCTTTAAATACCAATTCAGTGTGCATCAGCCCAGAGTACAAATCACTCTGTTCCATACAGGCAGTTTGAACATGTAAGTTCTACCTGAGCAAACATAATTTTCTCCTTAGTATCTGTCTGCACAGCTAACACGCTTCAAAACTTTCATTTGCAGGGAGCTCTGTAGGCCAGCCATCTCCCAGAGATGTACAAACCACCACTCTGATCAGCTCACGCCAATTAGTGCTAACAATTACGGTTTAAATTATAATCAGCCGCTTGTTTTTCCCCTTAGCCAGGATCCTTTGGCACTCAAACCAGTTGCTCCACTGCTCTGCTGTAATCATTCCCATTGGCTTTTGGTAAGGAATTTGGGATTCTGGCTATAGTCAGTGAAGAATAAAGGATATGGTTTGGGGACCAGCTACTCATACAAGTCACAGCAGAGCTGTGTGGTGACTCTTTCCTACTGAGAGCAAAGGCTTCCCACCCTGACCCTGAATCAGCCTGCAAACCCTTCCCCCCCCTGCTCACCAGGAGCATCCCCCCAGCCCGGTTAATCTGCATGGGCAGGGTGCACTTACAACATCGATGAGCTGGGCTATGGACAAGCCGAAGCGGACCAGGACCACATCTGAAATGTTGGCGACAGGACGGGACCACTTGTTATAACCGGAGAAGAGTTTCTTCAGGAGACGTTCCTCCGCATGGGCTCGCGTTTCCACGTGGCCGAAAGCTGTGGGCAGGGCAGGGTGAATTCGCTTTGCTGTGCACTGCAGCCCTGAGCCATAGGGGGGAGCAGAAACCTTCCTGGGTGACCCCGGGATGATCCCAAGCGTGGACACAGCAGGGCAATGCCACCGTGGTGACATTCCTCCCTACTACCCCAGGCACTGATTGCTGTTTATTTCTTGCTCAGTTCACCTGTGTAGAAACCGTAAGGGTTTCTGAAGAACGAGATCGGTCTGCAGAAATTGGGGGCATCACTAAAACCATTTAAAAACCACTGCACAGGCCATTTTCGCCTGATCTTTAGTTTTTGTGGCCACTTCGTGGCAAGCTTCTAGCATAGGAGACTGTGGGCAGGAATGGGGGGTGCTAGGCAAAAAGAAAAGCAGCGTTTTTAATTAAAAACAAAACTGCAGGGGGATAGGGGGCATGAATTGGATTAGCACAAGAAAACTGGCATCAAATGCATCAGCTAAAAAATAAAAACAGACAAATTCAGCTCTTCAAACTAAGCTTCATAGCAGCCCCTCAGAAACGACGGCAGAAGGAAGAGAATGGGGGAGAGCTCAGACTGGATAACACGTGTGAGGTTTCTCTCAACAACGACTTTAGAAGTTGGATGCTGCAAAGAACAGCCCCGACCCTGACGGAGCTGCCGACGGTTGGTTTAATGAAAAACGAAATCCTCAGTTCTCTGGAGATTGCCTTGGGGCTGCATCCCATCTCCCAGCAAGGGCAGTGGGAAGAGGCAGCGGGGGGCTCTCCCCGCGTCCCCCGTGGAATATGGCTCCTACTTAGCCGCAGCCTGCCCTGGATTATACAAAAGGAAGCATTAACAGAGCGCTGCCTGCGCTCTCCCCAACCACAGCCATCGCCCGGAGACACATTAACACACTTCACCCAGGGAGAAAAACCCAGCAAGAGGCTGAGCTCTCTGTGCGTTCACTCCCCATGTCTCCCCTTCCCTGCTGTGCTTTAACCCTTTCCCCAACTGTTCGGGCAAAGAGAAGGAAATAGAAGCAAAGCGCTGAGCGATTTATGTAGGGGACCTGTAACAACGGGGCAGGGGGGTGTGGGAGTGCGGGAAATTCCTTGCAGAAAGGGACTGGTGTTCGCAGCATGGCTAAGGGAGAAAAGAATAGCAGGGGAGAAGAGCCTTCTCAAACTTACCGGGGAAGATGCTGGCACACAGCAGGAGGAGAAGGTTTCCCTTGGACACGAGAAATCCCATCGTGGAGCAGAGCTCGGGCTTCAGTACGCAGCGTCTCCCGTCGGGGCAACTTTTCCTCTCAGAGTCTCCGGATCCTCCGGCTTCATTCCCCTCAGCTCCTTTCTCTCCCTCTTCTCAGGAGGGCATTTGATGATTTATATTCTTCCCATTCTTTGCCTACTTCTCAGCTCTCCGCGCTAGGAAGATGGTCTTCCCCGGGGTACGGATGGACACTTGCGCTCACTCACGAGAGATACAGGAGAGCTGCAGAGAGCTCCGGTAAGGATGCACAGAACACCCAGCCTTCCTGCCTGCCCTGCTCGCTCCTCTCTCTGCTCCGGGGCGCTTTGGCTGCTCGATTTGTTCTCTCCTGCTGCCGCCCTTCCCCCAGCCCTTTGAGCAGCCTTCGCTGAGCTTTTTGCTGCTGGTGACCACCGACGCCGAGGAGCAGCGCTTGGTGAAGCAGAGGGGGAGCACGGCGTGTTTGGGTATTTGCTGTAGTCAGACCTGCCCACCTCCAGCTGAGGAGGAGGGAATCAGTGCTCTCCAGCAAACAGGCTGCAGGAGTGGAAAACTTTGAGAGTGAGAGATAAAAGGGGAGGTCCAGAAGCTGGCTGCATGCACCCATAAGCTGTGGGGCTGGGGTCATTTGGGATCTTTATATAGCACCAGTACCCCAAATAGTTTTTAATTAACAGTAGCTGTACGCTTAATCTTGCCCGAGTGCTTTTCAAAATTGCTCCTGTAGACTCAGGTAATTAGCCTGATAGGTATTTCTGGTCAAAGCATGTAACTCTGCTGTCAAAGGTTGAGATCAATGAGCCTGTCCATGAAAACAGGGCTCAGCTGTGCTTGGTGCTGTACAAACGCATGGCAAAAGCACAAATGTTAGGCTGCTCAGAGGCAACGTGCAAATCAAAGGTGAGGCAGAGGCAGGAGCTTACCTGAATTTATCTATATCTGTGAATGCACCTTAAATACACCACAAATAGCCCTGCTGAAGTCTTGACAACTGTCTGTGAAGGAAAACTGTCAGCAACAAATTAGTGCTCAGCCCTTCATTGCGCAGCCCTGATTACTTGCACCTGAGGCACGAAGCAGAGCCCTCTCCATTTCATTCTAAAACCAGCTTTGATATTAACACAATTACTTCCATATGGGTAGTAAATGGATTCCGTTTTCAGGCAGGGGTAATTTTGTCAGCTGCAAAATTAATCAAAGTCTGTTCTAATAATACTAGCTACATATTTAATGTATAATAATTTCCCTACTCCTTAAGCATCTCAACTATCTTTCAATATAATAGATTGCTAGCAGAAAGTGGGAAGGATTAAAACAACAAGAGCCTTTCAGGATGACAAAACCCCACTGTTGTGTTTGTTGTTTTTTTTCTGCTGGATGCATGGACTCCTGTACAGTTTGCTTTCCTTCCTTTTGGTGACCAAAGCACCTCTTTGCCACATCCAGGAGAGGGGCAGCAGATGGGCACCCACTCCTCACTGGGATAAGGACAGCATTGCCATATGCTGCACGCTGCCTGCAGCATGGCGTGTCAGCACAGTGGGATTGCCAGGTGGCTGCAGGAGCTCCCCAGGGCTACAGATGGGATGAACCAGAGGGGTTAGTGTGCAGATTCCCAAATGCCTACACAGAGAGAAGGAAAACCCATTGCCTTACATCCTCTATGAAATCTCTTAAATGCTCTGTGAAATCTGGAGGGAAAGGGGATGTCACCTGAGCTTCCATGCTCTGCTCCTCACGGGGTCAAGCACCATGCAGATTGCACCCAATAGTATTATGTGGTGAAATCAATGATAGAACAGTAGAACCATCCAAGTGGAAGAGGCGTCCAAGATCATCCAACTCAACCAGCAACAGGACCTACCCAGCCCCGTCACTAAACAGTATCCCATATCCTCATCTTCAGGCTCAAATGAAGCACCAGAAATGACAAATCCTAACAATACCCGAAGAGGTGTGGTGAGAAGTAAGACTCACAAAGGCCATTTTTCAAGCTGCTGCTAAGGTCACGTGTTGGACAACCAAGCCCAAGGGATCCAAGATCAGTTATTCCCTTTGAAAATCTTGGCCATAAATAACACAGGTATCCTTGGCTACAGACCCTCCTGCACAGAGCTGATTCAAATCCCATGGACATACCCCATCCATCTTCTCCTTGCCTTATTTTCTGTGCTAGTGAACGAGGGAACTGGCCAGCAAACATTGCCTTTGGATTAACTCTATAAATAATTTTGATTAAAAAACGATTTCCTTCATTTGGAAATTAATAATAAATCATCATTTCTGATTAATGAAAGGTTTATCCCTCATCTCTCCGGCTCTTCTTTTATACGCTGTGGGCAGTGAGCATATTTTACAGGGGTTTCTGTGCCTTGAAGTGACCTTGTTAAATCTCACTGCCAGTTTCTTTCTGCATCATTGGGCCATGACAAAATTTCCATCAGCTCTGTATGTAGTTGGAGGACGATGTTTTCCACTGGTACATGTGCAAGGGATTCAGGCTGACTGGGACAAAAGGTATCATTTAAGGGTTTTAATGATTTTTTTTTATTGCAGGAGAAAGCTGCAACTCCAGTCTGATTGCCAGGCACCCAAGGCTTTGAGCCTCCTCGTTATTATCATCTTCCTTTGTTTGAAAAAGAGATGGGTAATTTGGGCAGTCCAGACGTTCATAAAAACTGCATGCAAACATCCCAGCCACTGAAGAGCGCAGATTTCACTAACCATAATTAAGGCAGTGCTTCCCCAAAGGTTCCCAATGTAATCTCAGACTTGTCCTTGGAATAAGGACAAGGCAGTAATGCACACTCCAGCTCAAGTGTTTGGGGGCATTCAGTAGAATTCCACGAATTTGCAAAGGGCTGCTAACTCCTGAATCCACTGCCTTGCAATCTACACTCCTGCAAATATCTCCCTCCTTTTAGCCTTTCCTGAAGTCTGTTTTTGTCCCATTAAGTAGAAGCTGAGATTCCCTGTGAATTGATGATAACCTGATGATAAATTGATGGTAACCTGATGATAAACTGCACACAAGACCCCTCTCCCACCATCACTGTTTTAATCTGGAAAAAAAATTCAACTGGCCAAAGAACAGAGGCATGAACAAGGAATCCCAGGGCCAGATGCTTGCTTTGAATTTGCCCTCTCCATCATTTTGCCTTAGATGTCACTGTCTGTCCCCAGGGCAAAACCTCAGCCTCTGTCTCTTTTGGAAAATGTCATCTGCATGTTTGAATGTTAAGAAGTGGGATATATTATCGTGCCTTCTTACTCCTTCCCTCTTTGGGCTTCACACAGGGGGCACAGCTGGTTAATTGCATGCTTGAGAAAAACACCTTAGCATTCGAAGCTGTTACACTTTTTTTTTCTCATCTCCATTCCTGCAATAAAGATTTCTCTCTCCCTTTCCTAACTGGTTTGTCATCAAACGGAGACTTCAGGTGGAGCAAAAGGAGCGAAAGAAAACCAACACTAAAAGGGTGAGAGATCTTTTTTACAGCAAAATGCACACTGAAATGAGCAGAGCAGAGAGACGTGCAAGGCTGCTTCTCAGAAGAACAGGCTCAGTTTGCCTCTGGGGAAATCTGCCAGGTACTGCTGGTCTCACAAGAGTGACTCTGATTTATTCAGATTTATTTCAGATTCCCTATGAAGTGCCAGAAGACTTTGAAAGACATTTTGGACTAAATCAAATATGTTTACTGCGTAGGAGACTTTTGGCCAAGGGGGAAGCTGAGGCACCTGCATAGGAGTAACAGCAGAGGAAAAGCAAGTGTAGTAATGATCACAGCAGTAAATAAGGTTATGAAATCCAGTCTTCCCCCAGGTTTCTTCCTTTCTTGGATAGCTGGTTGTGGAGTGGATTGGTTTCCACCCATGTGGTACTACCACAGCCTCCCATTTTCAGCAGCATCCTTATGGCAGTGCTGAGACTCTAGGGACAAAGGAAGCATCAGTGCTGTATGCCAGCACTCTCAGCAAGAAAGCACCTTTCACTGCTGATGAGAGATGCATCCGACATGAGATGCTCCAAAGCTGCAGGACCCACGTGATTCCTTTCTAGCCTCATTTCCATCACAGAGTGCATGCAGTCAGCAAACTAAACTGGTCACTCCTTGCCTCAGTGCCCTGCCCTGGGGGCCACAGCAGGCTCTGGTCCTCCCACTTTTGCACTGAGATCCTGACCTAGGGCAGCACCCAGGCTGCCAGCTGTGCAGGATGCTTGGACACGGAGAAGATAATACACAAACTTCACAGTAGGGCATGGTTTTAATGCAAGCTGTTGCCTTGAAATCTTGATGCATTCCTGAGGTGGGAGTTACAGCAGCTCAGTGCTTTGTATGATTAGCTCCATAAGGAAGCTCTGGGCAGCCTCCAGTTGGATTTACCTCTAGACCTCAGGAAGCAAGCAGTTGGATTTACCCTTTACAGGCAATGCCATGGAGAGTAAGGGGAATTCTGCCATCACCTTTGTATCCTGGCTGCTCCCCACTTCTCTTTCCTCCACAGTTGCATACCATGCTGATATCTTTGATCAATGAGTAACACTGATGACAAAATGTGCTAATCTAGACATAGAAACCTTTTTTGCCTTATTTTTCTCCCCCAGCCATCCAGACATACCTTGGGAATTTTTGAGCAAAGCTCAAAAATTACTAAAGCAATAAAGGGATTTGTGATTCTGTCTCTGCTAAAACAAATCGACAAGTAAAGTGAGCCAACCACTGATAATGAAAAGGCAGCAAAGCATCAGATCATGGCCTCATTATAGTTTGCAGTGCAACAGCTATTACAGAACTCCTGTTACAAACCAGATGAGCATCAACATCTTATTTGTAAATGCGACATTTCAATGTAAAGAGCCTATAAAGAGCAAGAAGGCTCTTTAGCTTCTCTTGAGATCTAAGAAGATGGATTTTTAAATTAGAGAACAGAAGCATGTTTCTCCAGACAAGTTTGTTATCCAAGGATAGCTTTGGTTTCACTGTTCAGCTTTGTAG